CCTCAGGACGTCACAGGAGTGCACCACTAGATACGAAATTTGTTGTAATATTTTTTTTTTATGTTCCAATAAGAAATTTGTAATCGTTCAATTAATCCTATGGCAAACGAATAAAACGGAATACGACTTAATTGATTCCCAAAATAAGTGCTTGCCCGTCTAATTACACGAATAAAATTGTCTTCTACGTTTAAAGGAAGTAGACTCATTATAATTTTCATAGAAATTTGTTAAGGGGTTATAATGCGAGGAAATAGTAACTCATGGAAAGGGTGGAAAAACTGCATAGATGATTATTAATCCTTTGACTGCCACGCCTATTTCCATAGTAGTACACCGCTGGATACAAGATTTGTTTTAATACCTTTTTGATGTTCGAATAAAAATTTTTAATCGATCAATGGGGCACTTTCTATTTCAAAGTATCTTCTAATTAGCAATTATATTCAAAATGCACTAACTGTTAATTTTTATTCAATTTTCACTCAATGTAGTTTAAGTAGTTCAAGCGCTCCGGTCACCAATGTCCACCATGGCGTCACAGGAGAAATCATGACCGATCATATATGATCAACATGGCAGTCAAAGTGTTAATCACAAGTCCGATGTTCCCCTTTTCTGAAAATTTTTGCATCCGCGAGAGAAACGCGAAAGAAGAGAGAGCCGTGACATTCTTCCTCAAGATTTCTTCAAGTTTCCGCGAGTCTAGGTCGCTCTTCATTTTGCTACCCGCTCTGTCGGATACGTTTTGAAGGAAATTTTGTATCGCGACATTTCTATATTTGCCCCGATTTCCAACCGACTATAAATCACTGTCGCAAGACTGCGAGGAGTACTCTAGAGCAAGAGGCTTTTCCTCTCGATCCCTGGTCGATATCGAAGGAAATAACAGGGTTTACTGGCGTGGAAAAAATCGCGGAATGCGATTCTCGCGTAGTCTAAGAAGCGTGCGAGCCCTCCGCGTACGATTCAAATTTTTCTGAAAAGGAAAAGCTGGTAAGGAACGTTGTGACGTGTCAAAGCTGTGGTCAACGCCGAAGCAATTATTGCTGCAAGTAATTAGCCATAGTTATTCGCAATTCGAGGTTCCTTCGCGTGAAATTTAAATTTTTCCGAAAAGGAAAAGCCGGTAAGAAACGTTGTGACGTGTCAAAGCTGTTGTCAATATCGGGGGAACCATTGCTGCAAGTAATTAGCCATAGTTATTCACAATTCGAGGTTCCTTCGCGTGAAATTTGAATTTTTCCGAAAAGGAAAAGCCGGTAAGGAACGTTGTGACGTATCAGAGCTGTGGTTAACAGCCGAAGAAATTATTGCTGCAAGTAATTAGCCATAGTTATTCGCAATTCGAGGTTCCTTCGCGTGAAATTTAAATTTTTCCGAAAAGGAAAAGCCGGTAAGAAACGTTGTGACGTGTGAGAGCTGTGGTCAACGCCGAAGCAATTATTGCTGCAAGTAATTAGCCATAGTTATTCGCAATTCGAGGTTCCTTCGCGTGAAATTTGAATTTTTCCGAAAAGGAAAAGCCGGTAAGAAACGTTGTGACGTGTGAGAGCTGTGGTCAACGCGGAAGCAATTATTGCTGCAAGTAATTAGCCATAGTTATTCGCAATTCGAGGTTCCTTCGCGTGCGATTCAAATTTTTCCGAAAAGGAAAAGCTGGTAAGGAACGTTGTGACGTGTGAGAGCTGTGGTCAACGCCGAAGCAATTATTGCTGCAAGTAATTAGCCATAGTTATTCGCAATTCGAGGTTCCTTCGCGTGCGATTCAAATTTTTCCGAAAAGGAAAAGCCGGTAAGAAACGTTGTGACGTGTGAGAGCTGTGGTCAACACCGAAGCAACCATTGCTGCAAGTAATTAGCCGAGGTTCCTACCCGCGAAACGAACGATCCAAATGATCGAACGTGATTTACGAGGCCACGTGGAGATCAGCATCTCCGAGAAATCGTTGCCGATTTATTTCTCTCTGATTGCCGATTTTGGTAATGTCCGATATTAAATTTAAACGGTTTATCAGTTTGGAAATACGGTTTGATACGCTGCGAGATTAGCCAGGAATTTTCATCCGCGGGCGAATCGATATGAACGGAGGTTAAATAATTCAACAAATAGAATCGCGTATCATCGCAGCAGGTGCGATAATTACCATCAATTATTCTGTCGAATGATCCTACCTCGGGCATAATTAGCGTCGACACGGAGAAAGGAAACGCACGGTGGAAGAGCAGCGTTTTCCTCCTTTTGGAGCGGCTGCTTTCCCGCGGAGTATCGATCTCTTCAGCGTTTCTTCCATCGCCGCGGTGCTTTTTCCTCTTCCCGCCTTTCATTCCCGCCTATAAATCACTGTCAGACCGACTGGACGAAATGTATCTTCTGGGTCGAATAGGATTTTTGGTTTCGACGCGAGTCGTCGCGGATGGGACGCGGAGGAATGGAAAAAGATGGCCGTGATGCAGTTCTGCTGTCCACGCGAATAGGGGGGCTTTTGTCGCGATTCGTTCTTCGCGTAACATTCCACGTGCCGTCTGTATTTTCACCGCGGTATCGGGCCGTCCTCTTCCGGAAATCGCGCGGATCTCTCTTCGCCCCCCGGGGGAGCGTGATCGCGATCCTTTCTGGCGGAAAGGCGCGCGGAATTGGAAATTTCGCGAATCGGTGCAACGCTTCGTGACCACGGTTTGTCGTGGATGGTGCTGCGACGAGCCTCGACGAGCTTCCACGCGATTCAGACGACTCCGATAAATCTCCGTGGCTCAATTTTCTACCGGCAATATTTTATCACGCGCGATATCTTTCTTCCTTTATCACCGTGGTCGATTTCCAATCGCCAGCGGCGTACGTAATTGTTATTCGTTCCTTGGTGAAATAAAAAAGAGAGAGAGAGAGAGAGGGGGGAAAAGGAGGAAATGGAAAGAAAGGGGATTAAAAAACGATGGGAAATAGAGTGGCGCGAGGGAAATGATAATGGCCGAGCGTGGAACGAGCTGGTGAAAAATTTCATATCGTGATCGAGCAGCAGCAGCCTGGTCCAGCGGCGGCTAATATCGATAATACGAGGTGGCGTATAACCAGAGGTGATACCGGGCAACGAGGGAAACGTATTTCCCGGAAAACGATCGCGCGACACGTTCACGACGCCAGCCCGTTCACTATCGTCTCCCGTAATGACGGACACACTCGATTTGGAAATTTCCGAGATTGAAACAACGCTCGTGACCGCAGACGGTCACTCTACTCGCTCGTCGTTCCTCTAATTCGCCGTGAATATCTGCCGCGTGCGTCGCGTCCACGCGATCCCATCGACCGTATCGAAATTAGTTAGCCCAGCTTCCGTCGCGAGTCTGCCATTTCGAGCATCGGGCATCGATTCGTTTATTTTCGGCCCCGCGATCCTAGCCAGAGGCTGCAGACGGAGGAGTAATCGACGCAAGCGGCAGACACCGATGTCTTGGATCGGTAACGAGGCCATCGACGGAACGGGCCGCGAAAGAAACGCGAAGACGTAACGCCGTCCCAATTCCGCTCTTGGTCGACCCAGATCACGCGTTTAATTGCTAAATTAATGCCCCACCGTGACGTCGTGATATCGAAAATAAAGCCCGAACTTCGAGCGGTTAGCCGCTGAAAACAGTGCTTTACAAAACACTGCTTTACACAGTTTTTACACCGAATCGAAAGCTCGAAGAGCATGAATAGACCGCGTGAAACCGGCGCGGAATCGGGTTCGACAGCCCAACGCTGTTTGAGCTTGTTAATAAACGAAAAAGGAGGGAAAAATTAGGGAAAAGAGGAAGAGAATGAAGAAATCTTCGACGAGATTTGGGAAGGGTGCTTCGAACCTTTAGCCTTAATTACGTTGTAATAATCGCGGGCCGAACATACGGGTAATCGTAAATTCGTATTATCTGGCGACTCACCTGCACTCCTCGGCCGAAGTCGTTATAAAACGGGCCGGAGAGCTCGACCTCGTGGCACATTTCCACGAGGTTAGGTTCGGATCGCAAGGCGGTGCAGCTCCTAAAGAACGAAATCGCCCGCTGACGTTTCTCGCCGCGCCTGCGAATCGCGCTATCATCCGGCCCTGCTCTATAGTAATTAAAGTAATGAGGAATAAACCGCCCGAGGAGAATTGTAATTTGGAGGAGCGGAAGCTCCGCCCACCGACAAGCTCGTTATCGTACTTCGGATTTCCGTCGTAACAGCTTTGTTTCGGATGAAAAACTGGAGCGGGACGTTCGAAATTTCTTCGCCCTTACCTCGCCGTCGTTAATACTCGCAAGATCCCGCGTAAGCGAATTCGAGCGAAGACGAACGTACGCCCGGGGAGCAAGAGACCGAGAGAGAGAGAGAGGGAAAAGGAGGAGAAGAGAGAAAAATCGGATAACAGGGAAAAGGAAGCTTTATCAAAGCGTCTGCGCGTGTAAAAATCGCGCAAAGAAGAAGTTGCTAATTCTTCGGCAAGTGAATTTTTATACGCGTTAAGGGGCCACCCCCGTCCTCCTCATGCATTATGAACAAAGGTTATCGCGAGTTTCCCCGTTGTTGAGCCCCGTGTGCGCGGCCGCGCGTTAAACAACGAAGAAACGTGAAAAGGATTATTCGTCCGCGACCAGCGTAATAGATTAAACTTCCTCCTAAGAATTACGCCGCGGTAAAATTACCGTAGTAATATGAAGCACGTGAAGTATGCCGGGCTCTTATAAAAGTTTCAAGTAGTTTTCTAATTTAAACTCCCGCCGCTTCCCCCGGTTCATTAAAACCCTATTTTATCGCGCGGAAATATTTATGTAAATAGTGATCTCCGGGCTTGTACGAACTTCCCATCGACCGGACGAGAAAAGCCTCTTATCGAATGCCTCGCCGTGGCGAAGAAGAATGGGGAAATTAAGAAAGAACCGTCTCGGAACTCGTAACCAGAAGATGGTTAGGTTAATCTGAGACTCGGTTAAAAACTAACCAGATTCCCAACGATAATCGCATTGCTACCCGCTTGTTTCAGGACACCTAAAGGCCTGGAGGACGTTAGCAAGTACCCCGAGCTGTTCGCCGAGCTGCTGGCGCGTGGGTGGTCGGAGAAAGACATTCAGAAGTTGGCTGGGCTGAATCTGATCCGCGTGTTCAAGGCGGTGGAGAAGGTGAATCTCTCCCGATGCAATCTTTCCTCTAGCATGCTCGTTTTCATCGTCGCGCGCGTGCACCGGCGGTAAAAGTGACAGAGCCGAGATAAATCAGCGAGCCAACGTGGACCGGCAGTCTGGTCTCTGGCGCGAAATAACCGATGGTCAGGAACCAGGTTAGCCGAGTCGACCAATATCGGATTTAATAAAGCACACAAATCATGCATCCGCCGGTGCATCGTCGAGAGAGACGGCCGGACCGCGCGTACACCCGTCGTTGATTTTTGTTCTCTTGGAGTCCTGCCAATCCCAGAACCAGCTGGCTCGCTTCTCCACCTACCCAAGCCACCCTTCCTCTTCCATCATTTCTACCGATCCACCTCGTGTACATACGTGTACCTCTCGCGTACATCGCGTGTTCCATTCGCCGCCTTTTCCCAACCCCCTCTCGCGCGTTAACGATCATCCCCGTTTCGAGAAGACGACGGGTGGAACGATACCGCGTGGATCGAGAAGAAATCCCGAAACACCGTGATAGAGTAGGGAATTTTACGATTTTCCTAGCGACTCGAACGACCCATCCAGTCGTTCGCGGAAGCTGCTGGATTTTTTACTAGTCACGCGGAATTTACCACCACCCTGAGGTTCCACGACACCGACCGCCCTTTTATACAGTGGTTCGTAAAAAGGTCGAGAATTCTTGGATCAATCGCAAAGTTTCGTCAAGATTACTTGCCAAGAGTTCCTTGTTAGCCACGGATATCGAGACGTTAATTTATCGTTGCGGGCGAGAGGTGGTCGAAGAACGAGCCGCGCACAGTCTCCTGGTCCTGACAAGCGGTCGAATAGGAGACGAATGGTATCTCGACCCCACGTTGCGAGTAATCTTGGTCGGTTTTTAAGGGCCACGTTAATATCTCGAATGTGTTTCGCAGTTTCGCCGAGTGGCCGCCGCGCCCTCGTAAAATCTCCATTTGGCAGGGAAATCAGGAGCGGAGCGGAGGACAGTGTATAGCCGAATGTGCTTTAGCGGGACATTAGTCGAATTACACGGCAGCTTGTAATGCGGGAAATTACGCGTACAAATAGTGTCGGTTATTTGACGACCCTCGACCCCTGGCCGTCACTGAAATTACAACGATAATTTAATCGCGACCATCCCCACCGTCCACGCAACGGAACACTGGCCAAAGCGGATTTCGTTAATACGTAAAAGTAACACTGAGCACAGGTCAGGTCTAGGCCAAACGTTTTGGCGAGAGCTTTTAGCCCCGAAACGAAACGAAACGAAACGAAACGAAACGAAATGGAACGGATCGCTCGCTCCTCGATGAGATTCACGGAGGAAAAAGATGAGAGTTTTTATCGATCCAATTAAACATTTCGCTCGCGGAAATTCGCGCTGGGCCCCAGAAAAGGCAAATTATCCACACAATGAAGCACAGTTTCCAGCAGAGCGATCCTTCGTGCTCGTCTGCACACCTGCCTACGAATACGACTCCTTCGAGCTGGCAGGTGGCGTTAATTCGTACCTAGACATACGAGTCGAGGACAAACCCGACTGTTACGTGTTCCTTTAAACGCTCACCTGTATCTGTTTCTCGCGGTGTTACCGTGCGTGACGCAAAACACAGAGTTACGGGACGATTTTAATACTCGACTCGCCTGGCACGCGGATTCCGCTCGTTACAGGATGCGGGAAACGTCGCGATCGTTAGAACAATGGACAGGTCTACCGCATATCCGCCACCGTGGATGAAATTGAATTTCAACGTCGTTCAACCGGAACGAGGATGAAACTCGGAACCCACGTGTGATCATCTCCCTGGATCTTCGATTTATGCGCGTAACCCATTTCTCACGAACTAGTCCAACGATAGGTTCATAAACGAAGATCATATTTTTTACCGGTAATAGCCAATTTGTCGAGACTAATGACGAACGAAGAAAATATTCCGTAATAACTCCGTACATTTGGAAAGTAATAGTAGATAGCTCGTTCTCGCTAGCTGCCTTTTACGGAGATTACAAGTTTCGCCAATACGATTTTCCCACGAAACGCGTATTTTACGGTTAAGACAGATTTTCATGGCTCCGTTGTCTTTACGGCGTCTTTTTATAAGGGGCATTAAATTTTTCAACCGGTTAAACGACCGGTCGCGATAGATGAAGCAGGCTACATCCGAAACTCGGGAGAAACGCGAAGGGAGACGAATATTACGCGTATTAGAAGAGAAGTCGCGAAGCGGAGCGACGAACACACGTTAACGTTGCACGGAGAATTTTTAATGAAAAGTTTAAAAACGGTCGTTTGACCACGGTAGGTCGGTATTAAACTCTTAAAAAACTGAGCCACAGCTGAATCGCTCGCGGAGCCGCGATACGAAAGCCACGCGAGAAAAGCTGCCTGTAAATTCAGACTCGTCTCGAGACGCGATTGCTTTGGAACCGGCATTGTCTCCCGTTAATTGCATCCCGAGAACCGACGTATGAAACAAGGTTGTTTCTGGGAACACGACGCCCCGGCAGCCCGACTGGATAAAGTCTGAAGGAGAATTAAGGGCGAACAAGCCGGCGGTGTCGTAACGAATTCTGACACAGGCGATCAAATACGGACGGGTTAAGTACGGCTGGATAATTAGCAGAAAGCCCCCGCCTATCTTCATACGCTTCCGAGTAACTGCCAGGTGTCTCTTTCGAAACGAGTAGAACCGACGAACGCGTTAAAAGATACGGTACTTGCTGCGCTATCTCGCGCACCCGGTTACGACCCTTAAGACGCTCGCGTTCGCGATGACCGACGATACGTTCCACCCGGTCCACGGATATAATAGAGGGACCTATTATGAGGCTGGGGAAAAAAGAACGAGGACGGTGCGTTTGATTAAAAACATTGGGAATTTATGGTCGCTAACTTCGACGGAACGTAGGACGGGCCAGGTCCGTACCTACGAATCATCTCGTCGGCCATTAACATTTTAATTTCTCCGACAATTCCGCAGAGTGCTCCGCGACGACGGCCGTTCTGCGGCCGCGCTGCAGACGAGAAAAAAATTCGATTTGAAGATGAAACGTAGCAACCGAACGAAGAAGAAGCGTGCCTGTATCGCGTGAACGATGATCCAACGTCGACTCGACTTTGCGATATAAATCGAGTTCGACGTCCATCGAGATCCGTCCGATGCTTCGAGACTGACGTTCGCGGGGGATAAATCACGCTCGAATCGTGGTATTCGAATCGCGATGAGACGCTGTCCGCGATACGTTTATTTTTACGCTTTACTTTCTCGTAGCTCGCACTCGCCGGCGGAAACGGTTAAAGGATTATATCTCGTTGACCTACAAAGCGAAACAACGATCGCGATGGAGAGGGGGCCTCTCGATGGGGAACGCGGAGGCCCATTTGAACGAGCCGTTGCCGTTAAACGATTAAAAGGCAAAAACACGCGACGCGGAAGGAAGAAAAAAGGCGGGAAAAAGGAGGGAAAAAGGGCGAAGCGAGGGCGGGGGGAAAAAAGTTGCGAACATCGGTTACGCGTTCGCTGAGCGCCACCGCCGCCGAAAGCTTCGGCTGGACTGTAATGGCCGTGGAAGGTTAATGGGCTTACCGAAAATTGATGGTGGCTGTACAGAGTCGCATGAAATACGTGCACCGCGAACTTTTTCCAGCCCCGGCTTTCGCTACACACCTTCTCCCGCATTCCCTTTTTCTCCTTCAACGAGGATCGCCGACCGTGATTTTTCCACGGAATATTCGCCACACCGTGTGCATCGTACGAGCACCACCACCATCTCCTTCGCTTCCTTCCTTCCTACCCGAGAGCCTCCTTTCGACTCTTCGACCTTTCGCCAACTCGAGGCACCGTGAAAATTGATCGACCGCTTTCCCGACATCGCCGATATACGGTTCACGCGAGCTCGAGGAAAGATTTCCATTTGGTCCGTGAAATTTCCCCGTGGTGCACCCTCCATTGCCTCTTCGGCTCCAGAATAGCCTAAAACGATCCGAGAATGGACCACTTTATCCCGCTGACAAATTTTTCCCCTAGGTTCCCCACTTCCGCTAACGAATCCAGAGAGAAACGAGCATTTCTGTTCACAGATTCGAGACGACATGGCGGCCGATGGTATCGAGCCTCTGGAAGAAGAGATTCCGTACGAGGACATCATCGGCCGCGACTACTGCCGCTACAACGTGAAACGACTGATATCTCCCTAGCCACCGAGAATCGGCCATGTGCATAGTCGATGGATAAAATGGAAGGAAGATCGGCAATAGCGTAAGCAGTCGATCGTCGCGACGCCAAGAACGAAAAACTCTCTTTAGAAATATTCCAACCGAATTCTCGCGCCCGTGAAGGACCACTCGAGCTCTTCGACCCCTCTACATTTTCCTCCTTTTGTCCGCGCCAACTCGATTTCCTCGGACGCGAATGCTCGCGAGACAATGTCGCGCGATGCGTACCTGCCCCGAAGGGTAGAAGAGCTCGATCGTACTTTCCCGCGATGGAACGACGATTCTTCCCTTCGCGGAGGAGCTTTCGCGAGGTGACACACCGTGTGTCCAGAGAGGCGTTCCGGATCTACGATTTTCGAAGACCAACACGCGCGTAGCGAATGTTTAAGGATTTAAGGTCAGCCATAATCGATGTGTTTAATTTGCACTCAACGATCTTTTCGTCGATGCTGGAACCAAAACCGTTCTAGTCAATATGATAATTATATTATGTATAAATATGTACACATAACGATCGATCTCGCGAACGACTGACACCGATCGTCCACGCGACGGTGACTATTACGATTCGAGTGGATGACTGCTTTAATGTGTCCTACCGTGCGCGTGTGTGCGTGTGCGTGTGCGTGTGTGCGAGAGAAAGAGAACTAACGATGTTTGTACATATGGTACCTGAAGTCGATGAACATATTGATCCTCCATATAAAGCAAACCGGGCAAAATTTTCACGAGGGTGATCGTGCGATGACGATCATGGAGATCGATGTGGAAGAATTAAACGAGCTTTCTGTTTGAAAGGGAAAGACAAGGGGAGAGAAAAATAAAAATAAGATTCGTTACATCGAACGACGTTCACCTCGGTTTGAAAGATGGCCGGTTTGATCAGACTGTCTCGGAGGAAGCTAGATACGAAGTTAGGCTCGAAGGAGCTTAAGAAAAATAATAAAAAAGATAAAACGTTGACCAGGTCAACGAGCGAACTTTCCTACCGATTTTGCACGATCGAAGTTGACGTCGATGCGTGATCGAGCTTCGCGTACGACCTTTTCGGACGCGTCTCGTTCGTTCTAACCACCACTTTAAGGCTCGTATATTCTAACTAACGCACCGAGTAAATATCCTTTCTTAACGATGTTTTTACACTAAACTTTTAATATAGCCAGATTTTAAAGCGAGCGAGCATGGAGCAAAACCGCGACGAGAATAAATCGAAGACGCGCCATCAACTTCCCTCGTGCCATCGATCCATCTGGCCCGTTAATTTTACGCGAAACTGCGCGTCGTTTTCAAACTCACGTCACTTATGTTCCGATTTAAAATAAAAACGAAAAAAAAGCGAAAAAATGTGAAAAAAGATGAAAAAAAAATGGAGGGAGGAAAAGAAAATGAGACTTGTTTCGTATCGATCGATTTAACGATCATTCGTGTGCAAGTAGTCGAGATCAACGAAGCGCCAGCCTCGTGAGTATATCCTAACATTTCAAACGTTACTGATACCAGAAAAATAAATCGACGACAAAATCGAAATACCGTGGTTGTTCAACCTATCTCTGGTTTACCCGTTCCTTGTCTCAACGATTCCATCCCTCGTCCCTCGCACACTCGGGTAGAAGGTTAACCGAAGAACTCTCGGGAGCAGCACGAAAGGCCAGGGTACCACAGAGCTGAAAGTCAATGCGGCGCGAGCAGATCGAGGAAGTAAACGTGCTGCCGTAAATCGAGTGCATCGATTCGCCAATTTACAAGTAACAAAGGGCAACGCTCGTTGCTGATTCACACAGCGCGTAGGAGGCAATCAAGTGCAAAGCACACGTTGAAATCGTAAACGCGGCTTGGTTTATTGGCATTTCAGGATCGTACGTGCTGTAAATTCTGGCCCGGGGGCTTGATTAGATTGTCGTTCCGCAGATTTGATAATGGCTGATTACCTATCAATCGAATAAATCAATCGTTCCACGGCCTGTAGAAAATTTGACGCAATGCAACACGCGCCATCGAGGGAAAATCGACGCGACCAACGTTTATTTTCCACCGCTGTTTACCAGTCCCCGCGCCTTGTTTTCCCGTTTCCCGTGTATACGTTATTATCTCGTAACTAAAACGACGCCGTTTCAACGTGTCGCTCGGTTAGCTCACGTCGTTGCACCCGGTTTCACGCGACGCCACGCGCCGCGGCGAAATCGCGCCTTCGCTTCGTCGAATTTCCAAGATACGATGGGGAAGTTCGGAAGTAAAAGTTTCGAGAGAACCCCTGTCCCGGGGAGATAACGAATTTTCCTGCTCAAATCGTTTAAAAGAATCCCGATATCCCGAAACTGACAAGTGGGAAGTTCGAGAGGAAAGAAATAAGAAAAATGGCGGCGAAGAATGAAAAAGGCACTTTCAATGATAATTAATTTTTCACCATTGGTGGTCCCTAACGAGCTCGTTAAAAAGTTTTGACACGTTTAGACCCGGATTCGGCCGTGCAAAAACCATTTAAGCTTCCTCCCTCGGCGGGTCGAGGTTGAATGAGCAGTCGGTTTCTTCGTCCTACCTTCCGCTGCAAACGAACCGCCACCCCTCGCTTCTGTTCTTTCTTTCTTTCTTCCTTCCTTCCTTTCTTCCCTTTTCTTCCCTTTCTTCCCTTTCGTCCCTCCTCCGCTATCGTTTTCCCATGGATTTTCTGCATTCTCCGGGTCTAATCTTTGCCCGACAGTGGCTAGTCTCTGCCAATGGCCGCGCGCGAAATAATCGGAAAGGGAGCGGAAAAAAGGTCGAGGCAGGAAGGGAAAAAGAAAGAAAGATACGTTGAATGTGAAAGGAGAGTGAAAAGAGCAGGGAAGAAGTCTCGGAAGCAATACCAGAGCCACTCCCCGTTGTTTCGCTCTTGGCTAGACATCGGCCGACTTTATGGAAGAAACTCGGACAATAAATTTGATCCTTTAATACCGCTCGCTGCGTATAATACCAAAGAGTGGCGAATTATATCCCGCGCACTGTTTAACGGATTCCGCGGACTATTCTAGATTCCAGGGATTCTCGCAGGGTCGGAGAAAAAGTTGCGAACAACTCGAGAACTATCGCTAAATCACGAGGTACAGGTCTACGATGCGTGAAGCGTTATGATCGCCCTTAGCGAGTCTCTTGAGCGAAAAAGGGACGTTAACCCTCTCGTGAACGCGGTATCGCGGCACTGGGCAATCTCAATGCGGTTGTACTCCTCTTTACCAAAGTTGCCAGTCCGTGGGACGTTTTACCGAGTAATCAGTAATCAACGATGATTCAGACGCTGGATGGTAGTTGGCATCAGCGTGAGCATCGAAAGGGTGGAAAAATTCCGCAGGATGGAGATGAACCAAGCCGGTCACGCGTATCGAACGGGGCGAAATGAAATATCGGTGACCCGAATGCTGGCCCTCGAGCCATCGCAGGAAGATGAGGTATCAAGTGGAAGACAGAGCAATGACCGCAGGTAGGAGGAAATGGCGTTGGAGGGGTTTCGCCGCGAAATAGGTGGCGGAGAATTAACGACACATCTGCGAGGAACTGGCTGCACCCGGCTTCCGGCTTATACGATCAAGAATCGAATATCGGTCGTGGGTTGATCGTATCCCGCTTTAGGAAGAACGGCTTTACGATTCGGTCAATCGTAAAGCCCGATAGCCGACCCTATCCCGACACGGGCGGCAGGTCGACCTCCACGGAAAACCATTTCCACGCCGCAAGACCAGGCCGACGTTTGACGGAATCTCCCCCGTTCGTGAATATTATATCGCAGCCGTGATTGAATCAATGCGGAAACGGAGGAATTCGATTCCACTGGATCGGCCGAGCCCAGCGTCGGGCTCTACTACTTTGTCCCGACGCTCCCACTGTCGCTTGAAAAATTCCACGCTTCTTGCTTTATGTACACCCCCATACGGGATTCGCTTTATCCTTCGATCCGCCACTCCACTTTGCGGCCTCCGATTTCTCAGGCCGTTACATTGCCACGGGACCTTGAATTATCGAAGGTGTGCGTTCGGTTCGCGCCATCTTCGGGCCGTCGTTCAGGAATTTATTTATCCTTCACGAGGGTCGAAACTCGTCGGTGATCACACGGGGAGAGACGAAACGGGCAAAGGTATAAAATATGTATCGAGCAGAGACCTGTGAGAATTAAGATCCCTAGCGTGCCGCAAGCTGAAATTTCCTCGGGATTTCGTTTGATCCGGTCTTTCCCTCTTGACACCATCTAGACGGGGCGCGACAGGCCTTTTCCGATTTAAAAAAATATTTTTCGCTTCCACCACGTCGACCAAAGCCGGATAAGGAATAAACCTGGTCCCATCGCACGCGCAACTGACTTTTCGCAACTAACTCGCGGAGTTTCGAGCGCCGTTATCTTTCCGTTGTCCCGCGACGATGCGGCAAACTAGCTCGTCCGGCGCGGGGATTCGCGAAACAAAAGTGTCGGCCATTGAATAAATTACGAGGTAAATGAAAAGCAAATCCGGTCATACCGCTGGTAACGGTAACAACATTAGCACACAGATTAAATGGAAGAACCTATCTGGCCCGTAATATCCCGCCGTAATATCTGTCAAGATTGCAACGTAAACAGCGGCTGCAGCGTGCAGTACGTTTTTCCTCTTTCCTTTATTTATGAATGTCCAATCGAAAACGGTACTCACCGAACTTCGATCTCCCACAGCGCGTGGCGAAATTCTGCGTAGCAATCGCCGTGTTCCCGTTTTTTCCCATATTTCCTTGTACACATCCGGAATATCCGCGCTGTCAGGCGATGCTATTGCCAGTCGAAATCCCTGAAAATAGAATGTAAAGTTTATGGAGAAACACGCGTGAAACGGAACGCGTTGACCGTGGATAAGGGAGGAAAAGAGAAGGTGAGTATAAAATGGGAAATAATAAAACGACGCTTTAGCAGTGGACTCTTTAGCAGTGGATCCAGCGACACGGTCGCCTCCACTTAACGATATTAAACCGTCTTAATTCACTCGAAACTGGTGGAAATTTTTCCATCCAACCTAATACGGCTGAAATTCATAACGCGGGACGAGTTACGTCTGCGCCGGCAGTGAAAAGCTGGCTCGCGTTACCATTGTCTAGGATTATCGAATTACCATACGCTTTTTCTTCCGTGCTCGCGCGTCGTCCGGACGATGGTCTTTTATTTCCTGCCCCCGTTTTTATTTCTCCCGCTCGACGCGTGTACCGGGATCGCGCTTTATGAACCGGCCACGTCCGGCACACGGCGTATATGCCCCCCGGGAACGCGTTTTTCCGCGGCAACGAAATTGAATGGGCCGAGTTTATGGCGCGAGGAATCGCGTGTCGTTACCCGTGCAGCGCAAGACGCGTGTACACGCGGCACCCCGAGCTTTACGAGCGTCGCGAGTGCGGCTGATGCTCGACCGCGGTAAACCCGGCTTAACCGATCCCTGCAAACGTATTAAAAACGCTTTAACGAAATGATACCGCGATAATCTTGCTACACGCGCCAAAGCATTCGGCCGCGTTTTAATACCCCGTGTCTCGCGTAGCGCGGCCGGACGTAAGCTGGTTAAATTAAGCTGCATCGCAGCCAGGATAATTAGATTTGGGAAAAATTACGTTTCGGACGTTATCCATTAAAGTTTCAGTGATTAAACGGCCAAAAAAAGTTAACAAAGCAGAAGCAAAAGGTCGGGAAGCGTGATATTAATTTCCCTCGGCTTCGTTTTCCTTTCTCTTTTCTTTTTCTTCTTTTCCAGCGTGAGATTAAATATCTCGTCGGATACAGGATCTCTTTCCGTGGCGGCGTTTAAATAACACACGTTACACCGTCCGAAGACTGAAATAATATTTTATTCTTAGTATGCGGGTCAGCTGGTTTCTTTCAATTATTATTATCGACACTGTTACCGATTGACCTGGCCTGGTTCGGACTTACATTTTGCATACGCTCGCGCATACGTGGCCGTGCAGCCATCTCTCTCTCTCTCTCTGGAATTTTTCCTTTTTTTTCTCTTGTCTTCTTTTTTTTTTTTTTTTTTTTATTTTTACCTCGACTTTTATCGAACGGCAGTAACATCGTTTCGACGCGCTGGATAATATCGATGGGAGATTGCATAGCAATCTGCGTAAATCGAAACAGAGATTTCGTTGCCGAACGTATTTCACGGCGAAATATGCAAATTCGTGCACGGCTACGCGAAATCGCGATACGAAAAATATCATTTCGAAATGACGCTGACGAAACTGCATCCTACGCGCTACTCGTCGTAGGCAACAGGTATAAATAACAGAATTCGATGTTCGCTATCGCAAATACTAAGAGACGTCGGGGAGCAAGACGATGATGAATAACCAGGCGGGTTTCTTTAAAAATATTCATTTTATTCGATCTCTAGACTCTTCCCAGATATATGAACAAGTTCCCGCAATATCAATAATCTGTACAAAATAATAGACTTTTCATACGACAGTATAAAAATACCGTTTCCATACAGATAATCTTTGTCTCGCCGCGAACAAGCGGCCACGTCAGCAGAACCAAAACACGCTCCTGGCGATAAATTTGAAAAAACGAGGTCTAAATCGCTCAACGAATACACCTACTATAATATAATATACGACAGAGTCTCCGAACGAGCAAATACTGCGTAACTTTCTTTCATTCGACTATGATACACAATGATAGTTCTTCGTCGACGCGTAACAGGGATATATAACTTTCTTCTTTTACGTTTCGTTTTCATTCTCTCCTCCTGACGATCCTCGAGTAAGGTACAATACGTAGGTACAACGAGCGCCGGGCGGTGCACAGTCGACCGATCGGCCTTTCTGTCGTCGAGGGGCCTCAAACGACGGTACAAAAAAAACAAGGACAATATGTTAACTTAATCTGGATCACAATTAACAAGGGGGGTACACGAACAATTTTTCGTGAAGCGCGTCAAGAAACTATATGGTTAAACGCAATAATAATAATAATAATAATAATAATAATAATTAATAATAACAAGAGAAACAACAATTGGCCAAACCAGTTTCTCCTTCGAAGAGGGACGAGACAAGAGGGGGTGACGAACAAGGACTAGTTAAAAGCAGGACAGAATCGTAAATCGGAACGAGGTTGGCGATTTCTTTTTCTTTTCATCAACGGCTTCTTCTTGTAGAGAAACGCAAGACGGAACTCGAACGGAGCCGTTGAGAATAATGCGAATTCGACACGTGGACTGCCCGGATACTCTCTCCCTCCTCGGTTCGAAGAGTAACCCAGGCAGCACGGGTAGCAAAAGCTCGACTACCACGGTACGACGAGTGAAAGCAACAAAAAGAAAGGTGGCAGAGCTCGATGTTCCTGACTCGTGTTTCTCTTTCTCTGTTTCTTGTTCGGTTAGTTGACCACTTTCTCCCGTTTCATAGAGCCCAGGTCCTCCAGCATCGTTTGTAGCCCGTCGGGAACTCGTCCGGCGTCCAAGTCCTGTCCCCACTGCCGATACTGAAAGAAAAATAGCGGATAGCGGTTACACGAGCTTCCAGCTGACACGCGATCGAACGTCGTTTCTTATACCCAAACAGTTCTTGGGAACTTTAAGGGATCTGGAAAGGTTCAGGGGCTGTGATGCGGACAGGCGGTTGCGGGAAAGGCTTCTCTCCTCTTCTCTTCGCTCCACGAGCCGTTCCTCCACGGCGGAGCCGAACACACGTGTACGGCAAACGTGAAGAGCTGAGAACGTGAAAAGGCTCGAGGACACCGCGTTTCTCTACCTCGCCGATCATTTAAATGTACGTACCTTTGGGTCTCTCATCGAATTTGCCGATTCGTTAACCTTCGAGCAATCGAATTTCAAGCAAACCGTACACTTTGCTGTCGCATGTCTAATTCCAAATAACACGAGAAATTCACCAACTGGCCGTAATTAGGCCCACGATTAAGTAACAAAGAATGCACACGCGAGACGAAAGTCGGGGATTTACCGATCGCTGTGCCCCGGTGCCCGAGAACTAATTCCGGAAACTCCGGCACAGCCATTACTCCGTTGGAAAAAGGAAGAAAAAAATAAGAAAAGGGGGAAAGAGCAGTAGCGCGACATGTTTATGGTTCTTTGGAAAAACTTCGTGTCCTCCGGTGTTCTCCTTCTTCTTGTCTCGCCCCCGGAATTTACGATATTAACGCACGCGGAAAATACAAACGCAACGCGCGGCGCGGCGCGGCGATTCCGGGGACAGCTGTAACTCTTTTCCAAACGCCGCGGATAAGACGGGGCCACGATTGCATAATCGAGAACACACGCGACTTTAAAAACGCCCAACGCGAGGGGGCTCGCCGGAATAATAGGTGTATAACTCACTTCGCAGCCGCGGCAACTTCTCCCGAGCGGAAGGATTTATTATCGGCCGGTTGCATAGAGAAAGGGGCACGGGGTACGATAGGACATACGCGCGAGATATGACGGTGAAACGAATAGTCGGGAATAAGATGATAGGAGGATAAGAAGCAGACGCTCCCGTGGAAGACTCACCATCTCCAGCTCCCTTCGTAGCGCGAGCACAGCCTTTTCGCGGTCGGCAACCAGCTCTTCGAGGTATTGATACCTCAGCTTCTTCCGAGCACGACACTCCCTCGCGCTCTGTCGACTTCGTTCTGGAAAAATAAACGGGAAAAGCGTGAAAACCTGACAGGCCGACGTCGACCGCGTTACCGGGCCGACTTCTAAAGACCCGAATACGCCTCGCGACTCCTGTATGCTCGCGCATAATAGACGTCTAGCCCCGTGAATAGATAAGGGTATAACGTATGGCTGGTTTAAACGGCGCTGCTCGAAAATTCGCGAAATCGCTGGAATCTGAGAGTACGAGAGTTGCCAGTTCTGAAATAATAATTCGAAATATTTTCGGAGAAACATGGTCCATTTGGAACGGCTTCCATCTCTGCTGGGTATCGATGACGGTGGTTCAAGGAGCGTTAAAATGCTTCTAACTTTAGAAATTATAATGCAAATTTAATTTCTGTAATTTCCGATAGTTTATTCGCGTCCCAGGTTCTTTAATAAGTTATATCCACTCCGTTGACAGCTGCACTATTAACCCCTTGCTGATGGCGCATGTCATCGCGAATAGTAACGTCGTACACGTCTAGCCACTTCGTCCTAATGTAGCAGAAAATAACACGCAAGATATCGACGAAAATAAACCACGAATTTGACCCGTTATGTTTACGTAGGGCCCTATCTTCGAACCACGTCTGTCACACGTGGTACTCGTGTTTGACCCGATCTCCTTACCACGTGTCTCACACGATGTCGTAGAGAAAGGGTTTAAATATTCGAGATATTGAACTTAGTGACAGCGAATTGATAATAAATGATAATCTCGGTTGAAACTCAAGAGTAACCCATCATTTTTCTTCATCTCACTGCTGCGAGTAAAATATCTGCAACTATAAATCGAGGACGTCATCGAAAACGGGATGCACGGATCCACGGCTCTCGGTAAACTGTCTTCAATTCGAAACGTCCAAAACTATTCCCCTAAAATTGAAACTTAATAATCCGATAATTAAGAGGAATGGAGAGCTCCTTGTCTCCGTTAGAACGGAAACTTCCGACGCGATTTACTCGATCCTCCATTCCGACTTATCCTTCTTTCGAAAACGCTCTTGCCGGTAGTTTTTGACTTCGGCGGTATAATTTCCGTATTAATCGCGGCTACCTCTAAACGCAATAATCCGCGAGCTAAATCCTCCGAAGCAGCTGCACAAAGACATCGCGAGGAACCCGTTTCCTACCCCCGCTGCCATTTCTCAAGACGCCTTTGCAACGATCCCCTTCCGCAACCGCGTTCGCGCTTCCCCGAGTGCGAAACGTTCTTAAGAAGCGATCGTAAAGGCGATTACGCGGCGGGTGTAAGGAAAGCCAAACAAGCGGCCTCGTGTAACGCAGCCGTCGTTCCTTTGGTAAATTTTTCACGCGAGATCGAGCCAGACGAGCGCGACGCCGCGAGCGGGCCACACAATCTCGTTAATAATCCAAAATAGATCCGCCGAGCTCGAGCCTGGTGCTCGCGAGATAAGCAAAACGGGATGCTAATAACCCCGGCCCGGCATTTTTCGAACGTTACTCCGTTTCTCGGCGCCGAAACGGGAAATACGAACGGCACGACGTCACCACCCCGGGAAAAAATTCCGCGGCTTAATGATATCCAGAAGCGCGTTAAGACCACCGCCGCTGGATGCCGCGGTAACTGGTAACGAGATACTCTCTGCGTGTCTCTCGTGTTCGCAGCGAACCTCGGGAATCCCGCGCACGCGAAAGAATTACGGAATTAAATGAAACGGGCGGGAAGGATAAGGCTCCGGGGCACGTTTAAAATCCAGCTCGAGTACGGAAATCGTTTAAGGAGCGAGGCGAAGGTTCTCGTGCCCGAGATAAGGAACGAGCAGCAGCGAACTCGAGGATACCGCGAAACGTCAGCTGCGTATCGAAAAGGAAGAAGGGAACACTCGCGGCCGACCTAGCATACAAATACTATGCGTTGCGAGAAAGAAGTCAGCTCGTTCGGTTGCGGAGCAAGAGAGGTATTCCACGTGCTCCGCCTATACTCTTGTTAGTAATACCTACTCTTCTATGACACTCCTAAAACTACTATCTCCAAGTTCGGCAAAGTGATACGTTAACATAGGCGTAAGATATCCGCGAAAGAAATGTTATCTCAGAGTTAACTTACGACGAATTGGAAACACTACTACGCTTTGGGATGAGTCTACGCTCTTGCATCTATTTTTTCGTTCGCTTTCTTTGTCACACGGTGTTCTATGACCGGGATAATAGGAGGGGATCGGTTCTACCAATAAGGGAAGCATTTTACTCTAATTCTGCCATGATGTTAGAATGGTTGAGCTGATGGGGATTCGGTCCTACAAGTTTTTCAGATGATTTCTTTCATGCAACGCAGACCGATCCCATCCGATCCGATCGGATCCCACGGATTCGAGACGATCTCTCGATCCAACTCGCCGTTACGCGGAATAGCAACGGCGCCCGGGAACTGCCATAAAATCGAACTAAACAGCCCTGCAGCTATCCAAAACAAACACGAGACTCCGACCACCGGGCTAACAACGGAGTCGTTCGCGAGAGGAACGAGCGTCGATAAATATTCCCCGCTCCATCCGCGGAACCGGCCATAAATTGTCGCGGTAAAAATTACAAACGAAGGCGAAGGACGCGGGACTGTGCGCAGCCATCGGGCAATAAATTCGCGTAACTCAAATGTGACGCGCGATTTTTCAAGCCGCGGGCCTGACGCACGGCGACGACGCCATCCGTTTCGGGCTGCAGCGCGGCCGTGGTACCGCGGCACTTCCGGCGCGCCGGTGACACCCGCGAAGAAGCCAGGGCGCGACGGATAAAATCGATCGTAATAGCCCGTTGCAGGATATTGCAAATTTCTCCGGCACTCCGACCGTCCGCGGCGTGATAAAGCTCTTTACGATCAAGGGTCGCGGCTATTATCGCGTCTACGGCTCACTAAGCCCGCCTTTTACGCGGCAATAAACGTCTCCTGCCCGGCCCCCGCGTCGTCCACTTCCTTTTTTAAAAGGGAACCTGTCCGGGAACAGCCTTTCCAACGTCATCGATAGGGAGCCTCGGGTCGGGATCGTGGATCGAGGGGAATTTTATCGGGGCTGGGATCCGTCGCCGACGTCTGTGATGCCAACACGTCCACACGGAAGGAATCGATTCGACCTCGGCGTGGAAATTAAGCGTCCTCGCGCAGCCAATTTGCGGCTCCGTTTGGGATCAGGAGCCGTGCAGGATCTGCGCCAAATCGAACGAGTCTATGGGGCTTAAATAAGCTCCGACCTGGACATCCGCGCGAAAACAACCAATCGCAACCCGAGGGGATAACGCGCGCGTGAATGAAATTAGGGAAAATTGGATTTACGGGGCTCGTCGGGGGTGGAAAGGGGAACCGGAAGAGGTCTCGGCGATGGCACGAATTACGACTGTCGAAAGTCTGGGCGAAGGCAACGTCCTCGCCGGGCCGGAGACGATTCGATCGAAGGAAAGGTCAGAGTAGCCGGATAGAAAATTACGAGATCGCGGGGAACGGGAATACGGGAGAAGTGCGGTGGTTCTTCGGCCACGTAGCTGGGAACAGCGCGGGATTGCGGACGCGAAAGTTGGTCGTAAAACGAGCTTAAATCCTATCCGTGTTGCTTCCTACCGGACCTTGGAAACCAGTCCGAATGTGCGGCTAGAGTAGAAGCTGTGAGAATATCGCAACAGGAAGGACCGAGAGGATCCATGGAGAAAATTGTTTCGTTCGCGTGATTTCCTCTAGAGTCCGTACGCGGGCATCTTACATCCCTAGTCCACTCTACCAGCGCGAGGAACGCGATCCAAGTGCTACTCTCGATAATGGTATATAATAATGAAAAAAAAATAAGGGGTGAAAAGGGGGCGGAGAAAAGTAAACGAAAATAGAACGGAAAGGAGCAGTCGCGTCGTTGCCACCCTGACGAAGCTTCTAGCAACCCTCGCCGATGTCTCCATCAGGACTTCACCACCCTCTCCTCACCCTGACTGGCAAAACGACGGAATTGCAAAACGCAACTTTCCATCTCGTCGCGACGCGGAATCATCGGGAACATCGGTCCCAGCCACCGAGTTGACCCAGCATAAATATTCATTCGTTCGGGCAGGATAAATATTCCTACGGTGTCATGGGTCCGGGGACTCGAGAACCGTCACTCGACGCTTCGTAATCAACCAGCGTGCATTTCTCACGTGGCTCGTGCAACGCGCGCGGTTACATCTTGTTTTCCCGCTTAATACACCAGCAGGCAGAGATGCAAATCGGGGCTAACTCGGCTTCTTAAGGGTCGCATGCAAATAACGTTGGCCATCGGGGGCTCGAAAGAAAAACCGATTCACGGGTCGAGCTTTCGGATATACGCAGAGAGGAAGGGCGGCGCCCGGAATTACCCCTTGATTTACATGGACGACGTTGTAAAATTTCGCGCTGGACAGCGCGAAGGGTGGGGCACCGTTTTATCGCGTGAAATTTCCTGAATGTCTCGCTGTCGTGTTTGGCAATTTTTACCTGACATTTTTTCCAAAACGCCATAACCGATACCACACAGGGTACGAGGAAAATTGAGGCAGATTATACAGGAAGATGGAGGAGATGCTTACCGAGCTTGGCTTTCATGTCCGACTTCTCGGACGCCTTCCTTCCAGGCTTGCGTCCCCTCTTACCCCCCTCTTTCCGATCACCGCGAGATCCCTCCTGCAAAGAGAAAAATTTCACGTTAATCCGTGAATCGGAAAAGCTGATGCGCTGGCCTCTCATGGAAAACAGCCAATTTATCGGGATATATAATTAGGTCGAGCGATACTGCGTGCTTGGAAATTACCGTATTAAAAGATAAGTCTACGGTTTATAACTGTAAGTACCTAACGACAAAAATTGCAGTACCCAGCTACCCACGGGAAAGCTCGTTCCGAATAGACACGACACGGCACTGATTAACGCCCCGTTGCCTTATTTTCCTCGAAATATCTCGAATTACCGTTACAGAAGTCGATATTTCGTACTTTCCGACCCGGCGGATTTTACGACCGCGATATATCGTTCGAAGCAACCATACGTCACCAAGAATTTTGAACCGCTAAACTGGCACGGGGTAAAGGGTCGGAACGCGCGTTAGCGTCGTAGCACGGGGTGAAAAACGTTTACGACCCGACCCATCGCGACCGTCGCGAATAATTACAAAGTACACGGAGAACTAGAATAAACAAGCAAGAACTGTGGCACATACGGGATACAGGGGACGAAAAAGTTTCGCGATCCCGAATCGCAACGTCGTAACATCGCGTGGGGAAAATGGCGACTCACGGAAACGGACTATACGAGCCTCCACTGCGACGTAATACCCGGCTGATCCGTTGTTTCTTCCTGCCACTGATTAATATCTCGAACGAGTCGGGCCGAGCTCGCGTCCGGAGAACAACGTCCATCGTCGTTTTCAATAGAAACAAAAGCTTATCGAATGAAGGAAGGTAAAAGAGAGGGAGGAGAGCGAGCTGCTAGGACCGCTAAAAGCAACCCTTAAGCGCGACACCGCCGTTTACAGTCGACCTCGCTGACGAGTTTTCGTCGTAGGGCAACCACGTCGGCAAATAACGCACTTTGTCGTCGCGAAAAAGCCCAGACGGCGCCTTTTTCTTCCCGATCGTTACCCGTTTAACTCTCTCTCTAACGCGCCATTCACGCGTATGAGCCGTTTCGTAAATCGAAAGACACGCTCGCCGACCCTTTTATCGTTACTCCGACTCGAACCTGTTTAAAGGGAACCATCGGCTGGGTTGTTTAACGCGCAAAGAATCGCGGCACCCCCGCGTACACAAGGCAGACAGGCAGGGTGAATCGAAAAGACGATCTCGTGTCCCCTCGAGCGATAAAGAAGGGACACGGACAAGCGAATATAACGCACGCAGGCTGGGCGTGTCTCCTCTCGCGACCCCACGCGACCCGTTCAAATTTACACGTCCCTAGAGCTCGGTTGTTGCGACGACGAGCAGAGGCAGCCGCAGGCTTAGCTATGCATGTGCTCACGGGTGACAAAATACAAATTCAGCCCTCTTTTAGGCAAGCTGTTTACCTTCGGCCCTATCCTTTCCTCTCAATCCTATCTGGTATTAAATCTCCTCGAATCCTCTTTCTTTCCCTCGACCGCTTCCGACTTCTTTACCCCCGTGGCTCTCGCGCCCTTCCGACTCGTCTCGCTTCCTTCTTCCACCCCTCGCCCCACGCCCTGGCTCTTCGCGCGCGCGCGGTTCTTTGTGGGGTAGAAAATGGAATTGATGTTCCGCGATGAGTAGCGAGATACAGGAAACGAGCGGAGCGAACGGAGCACGCTCGTCTAAGGATCCCAAGCGTGTGCTCGCGAAGCCTATCGCGGCTCTCGCGGCCCGCCTTTAAGCCAAGAATATAATTAACTCTCGCGGCGGATGATGTCACACAGTCGACGAGGTTCGCGTGGAGAGAAGAACGCGATTAGATCGCGAGGAATATCCGACTTTTCGCCCTCGCTATCGCTACTATCGACCAGATATTTGGGTCGCACTTGGGCCGACGATGCGCGTACACCCTACACCGGAAGGGTAGGAAAACTCGTTAAACCCCTCCACTGTCAGTGACACTTCCGTCGATTTCCCGTTCGCCCCTATCGCGAGCAGCGTGTTACCTGCACCATCGTCCCTGCGCCTGACAATTCCACTCGGATTTCTGACGTGTATCCGATCGTCGAGGGGAACGATTCGCTCGTTTCCGGCCGCCGACCATCACCCCTTTCAAACCCCTCGTCGACTCCAACCGCCTCCCGCTTACTCCGCGCTTTTACCCTTCCATTTCTACCGGTTGCTTATTATTTTTCACCCTTTCTCGCGCGATACTTCCGCCATTTCCGTCTCTCCTTTCTCCTCCCTGTTTTCCCTCGGTTACGGATTACGTTTTGAAAATTAGCGAGGGCTGGCGACGAGAGAGATTACGTGGACGCGATCTAGCCGGATGCAGGATAGTACACGGGAGAGCGGCAAAGACCGGAAGCTAGTAAACCACACTGTACACACAATCGAGCGCGGAGGCTTTGTAGTTTCGCAGTTCGTCGGCCGATTCCCTCTTACGCGTATTTCTCGAGCGCAAAGGCCGGGTTACGCGGCTCGCTTCGTGCCAAGGCTCTCCGTTCCGCGTGAAGCGTGATTTAATCTAGCGACATGAACGCACGGACTCGCTGCCATGCCACGTATACGCGCCATGGTTTCCACGTACACCCGAGCGACCAGTGCGTGGCCAGTGATCCCGTCAAAGGCGAACTCGCAAGCGCAGTTAGCACGCAGTTCAAGAACCGATCCAACCTTTTTCCCCCCCCGAATACGTTTATTCGCTCGCGTTTATTTATTTCCCTTTTTCGTTTCTCTATCTGCAAAGATATGTCGTTTATAACGAATGAGGACGAAAGTGGTTTCATGACTCTTTGCATAATTCAGTGGAATTAACTCGAGCCACGTCCGCCGGTATTACAAGATTACGCCGGCACGCCGGAAGTTCTATCCATCTCGCGTTTCCGCGAATCGATTTCGCCGCGCAGAATGGGGAAGGAATTACGCGTACATGCAGCAACGAATTAACGCGAAAACCAGGGGAAGAGCTGCCGCGACCACCCGCTGCAAGTTTCGCAAAGTTAGGTTCGCGCGCGGATAACGCTGAAATATAAATAACTCTTGTCGATCGAGAGAAGCTCTGTCGGTTCGATATCCGCCGATAAAAATTCCATCGGGTTACCACCCGTGAATTTCCATTCGCTCTAATGAAGCGTTTGCACACCTCTCGGCCGACACCCACACCCCCCGCCGTCCGATTTATTTCGCGCGAGCCCGTTCTTAAATTTCCCCCAGTTACCGCGCACATTTCTCCAGACGCGACGATCGCTTGGACCCCGGCCAGGAAAAATGAAAGTTCCAAGATGACGCTTTCCATTCGAACGCGTTTATCGGTCAATTCCATGGCACCGGCGAAAAAGTCGTTCGTTAACGTGCACTCCGCTTCCTCTGCTCGCCGGAACAACTTTCGGCCGACCACCTCACCTCTCCAGTGGAAAGTCTTTAATTACAAAGGATACGGGAAACGTCCTTGGCTCGGCCCACCCTTTTAACTCGGCCACGGTTCTCCAGTCTCTTTCATACGAGTCCGCACCACTCGCTCTCTCTCTCGAATTTCCCCAAAAGAACTCGTCGTTCAATTAATTTTCGTTATTAATGGAATTACTCCCGGAGTCCCTTAGCGAGACTCTCTTAAACGCGTTAGCCACCTTTCCACCCCTTCGTACCCTCTATTAACCGAAAATCTTTCTCCCACCTACCACCCACAGCCGACTTTCCTCGCGCTGTCTCACGCTCCGACTATTCTCGTCAATTTTGACTTCGAATAACCCCTGGCTCTTCTCGCGCCTCGCTCCTTCCACTCGCTCCTCTATTTTCCACCAACACTCCGACCTCGATGACGCGGTCTCGTTAACGCGTCTAACTTTAAACGCTTCATTCCGCGCGATACGTTATCGAAATTTCCTAAACTCTTTGCCGAATCTTCCCCGAATTTTCCCTCTATCCGTTGTCCAACCCCACCCCGCGCAGGTGGATCGTGATAAATCGGAATTCTAACCCTCGATGCAAATGCACGCCTCGCGAGCAATTCCCAGGCTTCGGCCATAATATCGCGACGAATGATTCTTGGCGGAACAGCCGCAGAGATTGCCGCGGGGTTCAATTATTCGGTAGTCGGCCGGAGTTAGGCGAAATCCTCTTACGCTGGTCCGCGATTCCAACGGAAATTCATAACAACGTTTACACGAGCGAAATACCTGAAAATCTCCGCGGAAGATGTCTCTTTTTGTCTTCGCTGTGCTACGCGGCTCAACCTTCCTGCTCCTCCACCGTTTCCAATTTCCCTTCTCTTTATTCGCCACTCCAGCGAGCCGAGAAATCCCACGGAGCATGATTCGATCGAGGCTTCCGCTGGGGAACCTACCACGGTCCAAATGAGCAACGTCATAGGTGTCTCAAACGACTAAATGCAGACTAAATACGGTTAAGCACGTGGCTGAGCATCACCGTTATTAAAATTATCATCCGTCGCTGAATAATCCCGACATGCGTCCTCGCGAATCCGTAATATCGCGGGAAACGCGGCTCATGCTCGTGGAAAAAAGCGAGCGATCGTGCGAGTGATCGAGCGAGTGATCGAGCAACTCGGTTACCGGATCCGCAGGCACGCAACCTTATTATTACCTCCGTTCACCGAAGGTTGCACGATCCTCCGACGCTCTAGAATGAAGTATTCCTTTGTAGAAGTCGCCACGTAGGAACTATAAAGCATCGAAACCGGTTAACCGATCGTGTCTCCTCCGAAAGCTTCCGTATTCCTTCGCAACCGCTCATCCTATTTCCATTTCTACTATCCGTTTTTCTCGATCCGTTCCCGGTGGTACAGAGTATAAGACAATATTCGCGGTTAGTCATTTTCCAAAAAATCCCACGTACTTTGCTACCATTCGCTCTATTTATATCGAGCTTATTGCGTTTTGTTGCTAAAACGTTCTATAGATGCTATCAAATATAAAATCGATTAGGAAAGCGAATCGTGTCCGAGGACGATATTTGTGTCGCGATCACGTGCGAAGACTTCTTCCAAAGGTTCTATACTACTTGCGATCCGTCTTATCTACATGACACCTGCTATGATTCGTCCTCGAACAGTTGCGACGCCATCGAATGCAAGATCGATTAGCAAAATCGAAGGAATGAACTCGCGGCTGCAAGCATAAATTATAAAATATCCGATCGTATCTGCGCACCTCGAAAGAGCTTCTCCGTTACTTCCTAACCACCCATCCTGCTAACATCGCACCAATTGCTACGTATTTTTAAGACCGTCCCAAGACGATATTCGCGTCGACTTCTTCCAGAAGTCTTTTCTCCTACTTTGATACCGGTCATGTTATTCGCAGCAGGCTTATTTCCATTTGTTTTCGAAGCGCGCCGACGCTACTGGATACACGATCGATTAGCGATGCGTTCGATTACGAGATCGAAGGACGAAACTATTTTCGAGGACGAGGATCGCGTCGCGAACCGGCGAGGAAGAACGCAGACAAAAACGAGCTACAACGCGAGTAAAAGCTTCCTTGGGCTTTTCCACGACATTGTACGCGAGAGAACGCACGCGAACGGACGAGGGGCGAAGAAAGCGGAAACGAGGAGGGAGCTTCGTAATTTTCCAACCGCGCCACCTACGCCGCTGTGCAACAATGAACGAGAGAGATTCCGTGAATACAATGGTAAAGCGCCACGATAAAATCATCATCCCGCCGACGAAAGTCCCCTAAATTCAGAGCTATGCGCGCGCAGCTCGCGTTTCCCGCGCTAAATTCGCGGCCATTGAACGAACGTTCTATTCGTGATCGAATATATCCATTGTAAACGTTCTAACACGCTCCTCTACTATTTTTCTACCTTTTCCTATACTTAAACCTCGACGTTCCAACAATCGTAACGTAATAATACGCGCTCGCACATAACCTCAAACGACTTTTCGTTTCGATGATTTAAACGATGCGAATTCTCGGGCATTATTAGGTTACGACTTTGTATATTGAAGAGAAAGGGTGAAAGGGCAAAGACGAGACTATAGAAGCGAAGTCAGGGCACGCTGCATTGCCCGATGGAATGACTGCCGCCCACGTTTCCCTACGCACCGGACTCTGAGTCAGTGTAACACGATTGCACGGACAACGATTCATAGCTGCCGAAGAGTAAGTTTAGTGGAACGAAAAATCGGTAAAGAGAGAGAAGGGGGTATGGCGCAAATGCGCCCGCGTATCGATAAGAAACCGTCGCAAAAGATTTACGAACAGCAGCACATCTGTCGTGACGATGTAACCGTTCACCACGCTTCAATTGCTTCGCAAACGTATCGAGATCTCGATAGAAAAGAGACAGCGGGTGCAAAATTGCCTACAATATACCTTCCACCTGCTCCGATTCGTCTCCCAACGCTCGAGTTAACGGTGTCCAAGGATCTATGGTGTTGCTATTTTCTTGAAATCCTATCGACATCGACCCACTTCGAACGAACCTATTTTGGACCGATGTACTTTACTCCTTTAGTAGCCGAGGACTTTCTAAACGCGGTTCTTTTGATCTAATTGCAAAGAGAGATCACGAAACGTAAATTCTAAGGTGTATGCTTTGTACGGGTTATAAGAATAAACGATTCGAAGAACGTGGTTAAATATGTAAAAATTTACTTAACCCCACTTATGCCACTGTTAACACGCTGTCACGTCGCTACGAATTCCGTTTCCTGTGTACCCTTATCCATCAGTCACTGCACTGCGAAATATTCTTGTCGCGAATTGCGATACTCGCTGATTTCGTAAACACGATTCGATAGTTATCAGAAACGCGAGTAAACAAGAAGGCTCCTCCTATCGAGTTTCTTGTGTAAAGATGAGCACGTTCGAATGCAAAAACTGTTTGTAAACACGCTCGGTATCGGAATGTAAATTTCGAGAATGGTTACGGTAACGAAATAATACCGATGGAAAATGGCTACGTCCTACTTATTTGACGGGGCAATAGCAAAGAACGGTTCACTGGATGTCGCGTGATATGAGTTTTATATAAAAGAAAAGTTTTATCGATGAAATCGCAAAAAATTAATCACAACGTTGCCCCTTGATTAATCGTTTTAAAATAGAAGAAGAAAAATAAATACAAACGGCATCGTAAAGCGAAGAAATAATATTGCACTCCGATTACGTGAAAACTGAACGCGAGTAGGTCACGATGCGTCAAAATTTATTCGGTACATCGATCATTCCTAGGTTAAATTTCACGCGGGCTACGAAAAAGAAGCGTACACAGTTCCGTATAATATAAAACCATTGAAACGCGAAAGCATTTATATCGTTGGGGTGACGATATATGTACATCGCACAAGAGAACGATTTCCCCCTTAAATTTATACGCATAGACCGAAGTTTTCGCAATTAACGGCACAGTTTTCCCTCGCGATAGATGTGTACCGTTGAATTGCGCAGTAGCGTCGCGTGTGGGCGACCAAGTCTAACGGTTAGCCAGTACAATCGACCGGCATTTCAAACTATGTAACGACGTCGAAATGCATCTTGCGAGATTCGAAGAAATTTAAAACGTTCCGCGCGCCCGAGTATCAGCAACACGAGTGTATACCGGCAAAAAAGCGTGCGTACGTATTGTCGACTGAACAGGGACAGAATCAACAGGGTATGGTTCGGAAATGGTATGTATCTAAGGCGTTCAGAAAACGGAGCTAATTTCACAGTCGATTCAAGAGAAACACATCGTGATATATACGTAACAAAACGACACTGTAGAAGACTATGAAATAAAGGAAAAGTATATAAAATGTATCTGTAGAAAACTCACCGGTGCTACGCGACGTGCGAGCTGTGTCAACTGCGCAGTTGACGAGCTAAACGCTGTGTTCAGGGACGTCGTGCTCGGTACCGGTGCCCGAACAGTACAACCGGTAATATTAAACGACAAGCGCGACACATATCGGCGATTTACAGAAACTCGCGGCACTGATTTTAAAATTACTCCTACGTATGACCATGTTACACATTGCTCATTTTTCGAACGCATTGATTGGAGACAAAATCCACGTCTAGTTACAAAGCTATTCGTAAATAGGTTAAAATAATTCTCTTCGTTTTGCAACTTTTAGTAATTGTTAACATATTTAATCACGAATAATTCACGAAAAATTCTCGTTACGTGAAAAATATGCTACAAATAAAATTAGATAGTCGACAGCGAACAATTATTCTCGAATTAATTTCATCCATCTTTTTTTCTTCGTTAGGTTAATATTGATAGAAACCGTAGTTTATGATAACATATCACACACGTCACGCGAATAATTTTCTTGAATCGAAATATGACGACGATAAATTTCACATATCGATATCACACTTCACTATCTATTAAATAGATAAAACAGTAGAATATTACTAAACTTAAGAACGGAATTGCTATTTTGTTTACAAAAGGTCATAAATTTCACAATACTAATCGCACGAAAAATCTACTCGTTAACATTAACGACTCTTATCAGAAAATGGACTCCACAATGTTCCGCGCCTGAAGATCACATGACCGTACGAAGACGGCAGCGTCATCTTTTGAGAACTAGGAGAACGAAACTCAACGACACGTGGCGCGATCAATCGACAAGAATGCGAAAGAACGAAACGAGAAACAGCGACATCGAACGTCAGCTTTACTATACGAACACCAAGAAGAAGCACACACAAGCAAACAGCCACCCTTCGGTCTGCTTGCCCCCCACCCCACGACCCCTTGACAAACCCTCCATTTCACAGGTCCTGACGTCAAACGAAAGTAACAACGCCCTTTGTCATCAGTTCGAAAATAACAAGTATCGTAAAAAAACGTGACATTTTGTACGCGCGCCCTCTTTGCACAACATGGTGTAATCTATTTAACGCGCGTAATCTTGTTGCCTGCTTTTCATGGCAGTTTGCATCGCGCGAGCACGTTGTCACTTCATCGTTTCCATAAATTGTCGACTCACCGTCTCATTTTCTGCAATACACATAGGCTCCACCTCCATGAGTCCCGTGAATTTACTTCTTTTTGATGTTCCTCAAGCAAATCCTTCGTGACACGCTTTGTTATATCGTGATTCTGTCCTATCCTCAACACTTTGCAACGGCAACGTGTGTCTGTTTACAAACACTGCAAGGTCACACAGCAGACCCCCAGACCTCTGACTGTCGGGTATTTCGTATTACGTCACGATCACCGACAATAGCGCCGCCCGTGACGAAATCATGAAATACTACGAAAATGTCTTACAAAAGTAACGGTCGGTAAATAAAATCATAGACCACATGGTGCTAATCTATTTTTGGTTATGTAAATTGAAATTCTAGCTTTGAAAAAAGATTAGATTGTACGAAACATACACTAATAAATATTTACTTCCGGACATTTTTATTACATATTAATGAGAGTAATTAATACCTATATCAAAATAACTGAAACACTTAAATAATTAGATAATTAATTTTACGATGTTATTCTCGTCAAAACATGCGACACAGAAATACATCATATATTGAACCTATATTATATCTAATTCATGGTCGAACAAATTTCAAACATTAGAAAATTTAAACATTTGAAATTTATAACAATTTTTAAGTATGAAATAATTTGAAAAACACAACCATGATCACAAAAATTTCTGACGCAATAGATTTTTTAATATAATTCATAATTTGACTTCAAAATTGTTTGTGATAATTGTTGCTGTCGGCCTAGAGAAAGTAAAGTGGAAAATATGTAATATGAACGAAAAATCTCAACTGGACCCTGAATTTAATTGGATCATACGCACCTGTACCAATTCTTTTAATGTATATTTAACTATGCTTCATTATATTTTCTACGATAACACTATAAATTTACAACCAAGTACTACTTGTAAGTAACGAATGGTTTCGTTAAAAAAATATTTTCACATAAAAATTTAAGATCGTTATAAAATCAAGGTTATGGTATTATTTTCATAGTGTATGTAATAAAGTTGCAGAAGCTTTGACATACCCTTTATTCATGACGATGGTGGACCTTATGGTGTATTTTATATTGCAATGAAACTAAAAATTAAATCCATACAAAATAAATATGTATATGCAATACTGTTTTACAACTAGAAGCATAAATTTGCGTTACTTTACGTTGCGAACTCAAATCTTAAATTCTATGATATCCAATATCAAAACCATTTCTGTATTTGCTCAAGTATCCGTTATCATAAAGATCATCCCGATAACCTTTGCTATAACCTCTCCTAAATGGATAATATAAATCTTGTTCATCGTTTCTTTGCCTCTGATATGGAAAATATCTGAAAATAAACAAATCATTAATAAATAATTTTTTGGCATATATCATTTAATATCTAATCTTACAATTAGCAATAATATTAAATTACCGGTAATCCATTGAGTAAGGATCCTTCTTGTAATAGCCTGTAGGTAGCGTATCTATGTGATAGCGTGAATATCCGAATGCAGGAATATGATCGATATTACGATAAATAATCGGATAATGTACCTCTTCCCCATTTTTATCGAAATAACGTCTAGCTTCGTTTCTCAAGTAATTTCTTCTATTATCTGTGTATCGATCATTGTTGTACCCTCCGACATGATCGCGATAATCGTTAAAACTAACACAAAGCAGTAAAACGATATCTTAATTCATCGCACTTTACTCTTGTATATACAGATAAGTATGTAACTACATACGTATATCACGAGTGTTAAAAGTCATTAAAGAAATTCAGACTAACTAGTACACTTACTTTTTTCTATTGTCATGTATTCCCTGTTGTGCCTTATCTCTCTCAACGTAGGATGCGTCACGCCAGCCATCCCTAAACGAGTTTTGCGATTTTTGCCCATAATATCCACCATTATTCCCCGTCGACCTATGCCCCCCCTCGTCATCGCTGTCCTCGTAAAAGCTTGAGTTATTTCCTGACTCATCTTTATGGTAGTTGTTGTTGAAACCGGTCCTGCGATGCCCTTTTTTGTAATATCCACTGCCGCGCCGTTCAAAAGAATTCCTCTCGTGATCGACGACTTCAGATTCTCCTAAACTGTGTCTTCCTTTGTCGTGCCCTTTGCGAGCTGTATCCTGGTTACCGTATCTCTTTTCATCTCGCTTGCGTTCATTAAATCCTAGTTGCCCCTTGTTATAAATGGAACTACCTTCTTTACTTGTCTTCTCTTCGTCGAAAATTACGTCCTCGGTATTGATCTTCTTTTGCACGTTGTCTGATAAGGAAGATCCCGATTGTTCGTTGTTCTGTGGAGCAATCAAATCAGATGCACAAAGACTACGCTGAATAAAGAAGAAAAGCACAATATACCAAATGAAAGACATGTTGAAAAGCAAGCGTCAATAGACGGTTTGTTTGTTCCAGTCGGTTTAATCAATTATATAGAGGCAGATGCCTTTGTTTAAGTAACAGAACTAAACGCATCCTGTATGCATAGGTTCAAAGATCCGTAGGTCCGATGAATCGGCATGACCTTCGAGTTTTTTCGGTTCTACGCATTAAGAAAGCTCATTAATCAACGAAGCGAAACGAATATTCTACGAAATCACAGTATCACAAATAGTTAATGCATTTTATTGAAAACTTGTAAGAATAGAAACAGTGTGTTTCGTTTTCTTTTTTCCCTTTTTCGTTTTCTATTTATTCTGTTTAAAACACTCATTACGTTAGAATTTTTTTTAATGTGTTAAAACTTACAAATAATACAAAAAAAGCTTGAAATAAATTATTCGTACGTATATCATATAATATTTACAACTTTCAAATGTTGTTGGAGGCACATCTACAATATACTTATCGGACAAAGGTAAAGGTAAGAAATATATCGATATTGTAAAAAATATTCAAAACTTATATTTTAAGTCGTCTTCGTGGAAATTCTCGGTGAAGAATTGTACAAGACGCTTAATCATATTCTAAGTATCGTAAGGGTAAGATGGGAGGGGAAAAAAGGTGTGGTATATAATACAATCACTAATCATCTTCGTGTTCCAAAAATATTGTAGCTCTTTCTAAACAGTACTTTCACGCACATTCGCTCTTACACTCTGCTTATTAAAATTAACAGGTTTAATTAAGTCGCGTACCAATTATACTGATTTATAATTTGTAAACGCAATTTAATAATTGTTCTAGCTAAAGCTTCTAAAAATGTCCAACATATGCTTAAATATATTAAACACATGTTTGACTATTTTTTTGTTCTGTGTTTATAAACTGCATGCAGATTATACAGTAGTTCGCCGTCCTACTGTAATATCTACCATTATCTGTTGATAAGCGAATTAGATGATTTGCTTATACGTTGTAAATTAACAATTTGGAAGGCAATGATTTTAATTCCGAATATACGTCGAAAAATATACATTACCACTGTTCTCTGTATTACATCACAAAATCATAATAGCAGTTCGTGCGCAAAAGGAACACCGTTCAAAACATTCTTTATCGCTCTGTGATTTAGGGTGGTTAGGTAATTATTATTTATTTATTAGGTACTATGAAAAAATAAATTTATTATCCCACTCCTTCTTGTATTCTGGCAGTATGCAAAATTAAAAGAAGCACTTGACAATTAGGTTTTTCGACAAAACAACATTGTATTGGTACAGGGTCTATCGTGCGCCAAAAACTGTTAATTGTTGGTAAACTTGTATTAAAATCATCAAGCAGCAATACGCCGTCAAATAAAAATATGGATCTTCACAGACCACCCCATTCACGACGATGAATGGACGTTAACTTATTTACAAGTGTTTATATGATTAATATGCTTCCATAATTTATGCTTACTCTGTACACGCGCATTTTCAAATTACTACGAATGAATATATTTACACAATTTGGCGGTTTGTTAAAATATTTAAAAATTGGTGCGATACAATACGATCGCGGCACGCTATTTATCAGTTGCATATGATTTTGGTCGTCGATAATAACGCGACTTGTAATAATGGAAGAAGTTCTGATCAGTTCCACACTAATTTGTTTGTCATCAAAAATAATACAGATCTACTGAAAAATCCGCCTATAGGTCTCTATGAAATTATTATCTGTTCACTGGCATTTTCATTCTGTTCAACATAATTTACGTCTATAGTGCACACTGTTTGATAATATTACCATTGTGAATCTTCTTTAGACTTTAGTTTAACGTCTTTCTTTAGATATAAGCGTGAATATTCGTCTTGGTAAGTAGCACATTGTGTATTCGACTTGTTAGGTTTCTGTAAATTACTACTAATTGGTGAATTACTTGGTGAATACTTCATTTCTTGTAATTCTTGCAATTCTTTTAACGATCTCATCACCATTTGAACATCTTTTTCTTGCTCCGTCGGTTGCACTGCATTTCCTACTGGTTCATCCAAAATAAGTCCAGTGTCTTTTCGTTTGTCTGATATTACTCTTGAAGATACATCATCATTGAAAATTTGACTTAAATAATTAGTAGCAGCAATTGTTTCTTCGTTCTGCCTTTGCTCTTGTTCTTCTTTTGTGAGTGATAGCTGTGGCTGCTGCTGCTGCTGTTGTTGCTGTATAGGCACTACATCCGAATTAACATATCCTAATTGTTTATCTAATACCTTTTGATCCTTTTTCTTTTTTTTGACATCATGCGATTTATGTTTACCATCCGCACATCGCTCCCGCTTTTTCTCCCTTTTCTCAGTCTTATTAGTCAAATCAATATCTTTATCTTCTAATCTTTTATCACTTTTTACATCTGTATTTTCATGTAGCAGTCTGTGTTTCAAGGATACAGCTTTTGAAAGTGAAGATGTTTGATTTGATGTAGAATAATTAGAATGTTGTGACTGTGTACATGAATATGAAGCTTCCTGTCTGTGTACGGAATGGTGTCCAGTTTGAGGCACTTCATTTGTATTTGGAAGAACATTTGAAGTTTCTGAATAAGCAGTAATAGAAACTACATCCTTTTTATTTTCACTCATCTTCGTAGATACTTTGTGAAAATCATTAACCGGTGTAATAGAGAGAGAGCTATTAACTAGATCCATCAAGTTAAGTTTTTCAACGTGACTTTTAACCGGTTTTTGAGCCATTAACTGAGCCGTAGGCACAACAGAAATCTTACCTACAGTGGAATTATTAGATGCTGAATTTTCGTGATACTGACCAGAATTGTTAGTATCTTTATTTTTATCTTTATTCTTTATACTATGTTGTTTTTTCTCTATATTATCACTTGATTTTGTAGTTCCTTGTTTTACATAATTTGTAGAATTCTCTGTTGCATTTAAAATTTTAGATGCATTCGTTAAGGCTTTCTCTTGTGAAGAAACGGCACTTATATTTGATAGTTCAACTCTTGCGGAATTGTAGATTGCATTTTCTGAAGAACTGGTAGTATTACCATTGCCAACTTCTTTCGGTTTTTTTGTTTTCTTTTTTGTGCTAAAAACAAATCATTTTGCTATAATATCTATTTTTTAAAAGAATCACGTACATTTTAAATTTATAATAGTACTTACGTAGGTTCGGCTTCACCAACAAATTTCAGCAAAGCGTGCGCTGTCATATATCCACGGGGCCACAATGGTAATACTTGACGGACCATAAACGATCCAACATAAGTGTACATACTTAATTTTCTCGGTCTTAAAACATTATAACACTGACTTTTTATACTTGCAATGTCAGAAACAAGTTTTCTGTAAAAAATAAAAAGGTAGATAGAAAGAATTTGATATCTCTGGTTTCTATATAATATAAAGTTCATTTCAAAAATTTACTTTGCTTCTTCGGTCCAAGGAAATCGCTTTTTAGGAATTTTCGATTTATCTATATCCTCACACATATCTTCGTCATCGGAACTTTCAACATCTTCGGGTGATCCTTCCATCTCCCTGCAATGGAAATATTGATTATAAATCAAGAAAAACGAGAGAATTGTAAAGGAATTTATAACACGGCGATGATAAAAAAAAGATGGTGATCAGCATTTATTGCAATAAAATTCCATGATCTGAAAAATTCCTGTATAAGAATTTTATTATGAAACCCTAGATAAAAAATATAGAAAACACAGTGTATGTGTGATCACTAAATTGAACTTCAAGTAAACGAAATTTCATTACTTGACGAAAAGGATGATGCTTGTGATAAATTAAACACTGATACTGATGATAAGCCCCGCATTTTTCGCTATCTCAACAAGAACATTAAAAATAAAATATAAAAAAAATTTACTTAATAACATAAAAACTATCTTTTTGAAACTATCAAACATTGAGATAGCATACATATGGTGTATAAATATAAGCATGAAGTAGGGAAAATTTGAAGATATTGAAGAAAAAATAAGATAAAAATCGGAAAGATGAAAATAGAAAAGGTTTCCTCTTACGAGGGGCACCTTACCAACAGTACCGGTATATATCCCAGTATAAATGAGGACTAAGAAATAAAAAATTATAGTAAGTTCTCATTTAAAATTGTACAGATACTTAATTTATATTTTAAAATTACAAAAAACCTTATTATCTCTAATTCTCTTTGCAAATTTATTTTTTTATTAATATGAAAAATGTATTTAAGAAGAATACTTACTTTCCTTCGGCCACTTTTTGACATTCATCTATATATTTGCACATCACAGATGGCATTATTTCTTCAATCACCTTTTTTAACCTACAATAATATTAAAAGTTGACGATTATTAAATAAAATACAATTACAATAATACAAATTGTATATAAATAAAATATCTAATAAGTTTATAAAAAAATATAAATCTACCTTTGTATAAGATCTCTAGTTTTATAGTCGAGATCCTGCACAAATAATTTTTTTGCTCTATTTTGAAGTGCTACTTTACTACATGGTAAAAATCGTGCAAGATGTCCATACGTTTCTAGCCTCAAACTTGGCGGGGGAAGCGTCCTCAATCTTTTCTCTAAGCTGAAGTAAAAATTCTATTAATTTTTTTTACAGCATAAAATATAGTATTGCAATTACTTACCTCAACAATAATGTATTTACTGTCGTGTTGAAAAATTTAGTTTTTCCTTCTTTACTGTTTTCAGCACACGTTTTCAACTTATTAACTATTTCTACAACATTTTCTGGAAGAGAATCAGGTAATGGGGCTTCTTCCTTATCAATATCGTCACATTCAGATTCTGTCCCTATACATCGAGATTTACCGGAATCCGTTGTGTCTCTACTCGATTCATCTTCCACTCTTGCAGCATTAACTACACTCTCTATTGCATCATCAATATTACTATCTTTACCACCTAATTTTTTTAATTCTATTTTTTTCCCATCGAAGCCATTAGTATTTGATGTTTTCTTTTCAAACTTTTTTATATCAAACTTTTTATCCGATACATTTTTACTCTTTTGGGAATCTATTTTATCTAATTTCTTCTTCTCTTCTTGATCTTCTGAAACTAAAGCTTATGTTACAGTTTATCACTACATTACAAAAATACTATAATTATAACTACATTACCTTCAGCATCCGTAGTTTCTCCTTTTACTTTTAATCTGTTTAAAGTATCTCCATCCTGTTGAAAATTTGGCTGATCTTGGGAATTTGGTTGCTGTTTCTTCTTTTTTTTAATAATATTTTCGTGGGTCTGTTTCTTTTCACCATTTTCTTCTAGCTTTTGTTTCTAAAAAGAAAATGATAAAAATATTTAATACATAAATAATAAGGATGAAATAAGTAATATCGTACTATAACTTCAATTACTTTTCTTGGTTGATCACCAGTAATATCTTCAGTATCATCTTCATCCGATGAACTGAGATTCCGTTTCTCTAATCTTTTAGGACTATCCACATCCTCTGTATCCTCTTCACTACTTTCACTGCTTTCATCATCATTGCTGGGATTATTGTTATTGTTATTGTGAACCAATATATGACGATCAGCTGTTCTAAATTCAAGAGCTCCACAATTGATGTAAAAGCCACCATGTGCTGTAGTCATCTCTTCTGGTACAATTTCATCATACTAAAATGATTAAATGAAGTATAATGTCATGAAATTTATATTAAAAAATGAAATAATATTTAAATACATTACATACTGCGTCGGTATTATCGATAAAAGAATCATTTTCATCATATCCAGCTCCCAAATCCACATAGTCATCGTATTTATGCCTCTTTTTTCCCATGGTAGATGTTCCCTACGAGTATTGAACGAGAGTCAAGCGTTAGAAAAGAATGAATAAATTTTTATTTATTATAATATATATCTGAATTATCATAAATTTTTTAAAAAGCCATATTTTACATACATATTTCGCTTCAAACCGTCTTGCCATATCTCGGAGTTTATCGTCATCGTCATCATCGTCGAAAGACAGTCCATTAGTGGCATTTTCATCTCCCTGCTTTAACTCTTTCCTACGCTTCTTCTGTAAAATAAAATTATTTGTTTATTTTATAATTCGATACAACGAATTATTTACAGACGTTAATCAGATATCGACTCTTACCGCATGATGAATCGCGGCACGTTTCAATTTCGTCGCGCGCTTTCACTATTTTATTAAATACTAAAGGATAGTCCATTTTGCGCACGCGTTCATCAGTGACATTCCTAACATTTCAATGTATAAAATTCAAATATTTAAATGGATCACGTGGTTAAATTAACAATTTTTACAAATTACTTATTGATAAATGTTTAAACGGAGCACTATTTTACCGGTTAAATATTGATAATATAGTTACAATTAACATTATCTAACAAAACATTTAACAAAAATATGGGAACAAAAAAGAAGGATAAATTGATTCAAAAGAGGGCATAAACTGTCCATTCATATCAGGAGCACATACTACAAGCAGAATGTCACTGTTGCTCTTTCTTTTGAGACGCGCAACTCCCTGTTATCTTCTGCTCTCCTAGTACGAGGGACGCTACAACGAGTGATTGATCCCAACAAAAATACAATCATCAATAAATTCGAATTATATAATGTAAATTATAAACGATATTTTAAATAAATTGTATCGAATAATTACAATGATCCAGATTGTAGCTATAAAAAAGAAAAAGTTACTATATAGTGAAAAATAACTAATGCGATATAAATGTAACTACTATCAATATTCATGTGTATTATTTTATTTATATATGATTTATATATGCTCTCTTTTAATGCAATAATATTATGTTGTACTAACAAATAAAAATTTTTAAATTCGGCGTATATATAATTTAATTCGTTTGTACGATACGAACGAAAATAAAATTAAAAAAAAATCTTATTTATAACACCAACGATTTATTTAAAAAATGAAAGTCGCTGGTCTTCGATTTTGATACAAATATAGTCCAATATGCCTGAAATTTTACTAAAAAATTTCACGCATTGCATTATTAATAAAAACTGAAATAAGAGTAACTTTAAAATTATATATATTGATTTTCAATTTAAAGCAAGTAGTCGGAATTCCATTCTTTTCGGACAACATGAATGCTTTATATCACGATGAATATAAAAAAAGAACATAATACGAATGATAAAAATATAACACTACAGTTAATATAATATCAAAAATAAAAAAAAAAAAACAAGGCGAACGAATAACGTTATTTTATAATATTCATCTAGCTTGAACCAATGTGCAACGTGTTTTATGTACGTCGACGGTCACGAGTTCCCTCTCGGTGCATCGATCACAAAACTAATAAGGATATACTCTACGTACATGTATAAGATCACTAAGATAAGATACAGATTAAACTGTTGCTTACGTACGTATAAAGAAAAAAGTGTTAATGAAAGTACCGTAGCTTGATGAAATGAAATAGACACGTACTCAAGTAAGGTGAATGCCATTTTAATGAATTTGCAATACCGTACAGTACATCATATTCTAGTAATTCAATACTTTTTTACATGTAGAAAATAAAAGATTGTCATGAAAACGAGTGTTAAACGCTCGTTCACGATTAGGTTTGAAACGAAACTTTGAACAGACAGTGTTTCACGTTAGCATACGTTAACACGAACATCCACCGGCAGTACGTTGTGACGTTTCTATTCGATGGCTTCGAATTGATCATATCTTTTTCTGCCAATTTCGGTATAATATTAATGTTTCCTGGCAGAAGATACATAGGAATAAGTAAACCATGCATATTGCGATACCGTCGGATCTCACGCGGTAGCTGCGACATGACAATTCGCTCGAGTAACGCATACAAGTTCTCTTCGTTTCATGTAGTCTGAAAATGGGCGATTCCATTGGCATTTTTGCAGTTTCTTGTCAAAGTGTATATGTGAAACGAAATCATAACCGGTGTTTGTACCAAACTAAATGTGTTGGTAAACGTGACCGTATGGATAGGCATTACGGGTTTTATTTTCCCTTCGATAGATTAACAAGTGAAAGGAAGAACTGACCTCGGCTGCTTTGAGGAGTTGTGCATAGTTGAACTCAGGACATGCCTTCTCGTTCGACTCTGGCAGGGTAAGTGTGAAGCGGAAGGAGGGCGCGAGCTGTTTGCCCTTTTCCCCTTTTTTCTCCTTTTTCGCGGCGTAGCCCAAGGACTCCGGAAACTCCAAGGTCTGCAAAGGTACCCTTTTAGCTTCTGACATTCCTACATTTGCACCGAACTCAACGCGGATTACGGAAACACTGCGAACACTGCGGCAGCAACATGGTCCTTTCTCTTAAACACCGCACCGACACCGCCACTCGCACGTCGCCATCTTCGGCTCGACTGTTTTTAGAGTGCGCTGTTGATGCCGCCGCCACACCGTGAATCTAACGCATGCGTCTGGCAATACAAATAATCTTAAGTGACGTTTCCATTAAATAATCGCGATATTCGATATGGAAACAAGTTCAATTGTTCCAACAAATTATTGGAGATTATAATATTAATTAATCAGTTTAATATTACGCTGCGTATTAATATTACTATAATGACACGCAAGTTTTGTTGCAACATAAAGTATTTCAATTCAATACTTTTCTACTAGTTAAAATAAAGGTATGACGATTTAATTCGTGCGTATTATTTATTATGAAACCACATGCATGGTTACAAACTGTAATCACATCAATACAATATATCTATAAAAGTTATCTATTTTTACAAATATAATAACCCTATTTTGTATATAAAATAAATATTTCATTTCATAATTCAAATCCCAATACCTGCAATGGTAAAATTATGTCAATCGTATGAGTTATAAAATTTTCTTACAAAGTAAGAATAGTCATCTAAAATAGCTAATTTATAAGTAAAATAGGTCTCAAATGCAAAATACAATTTTTGTCCCTTAATTAATTGGAGTATTTGGATCATTTTCAAGATTATCTTGTCGCTTTGCAATTTTAATTGTTGAAAATTGCTGACCTAAAATCTTCATCACCTCACCATGTTTTATATTTCGTTCTTTTTTTACAGAATTATAATTCTCTTTCACATAAGCTGCAAATGCTGAAAGTTCTCTCTTTGGTGTTTGCATTTGTACAGTTCCAGACTTTGTTGTCTTATTTACTAATAATTCAAATTTTCCATAGCAGTGACCACATCGTTTCTTTTTGATATCCAAGGATTTCGAATGTCTACCGATACTATAATAAAGTTCAGAATTATTCAGATATTCAAACTTTTGAATTTCAAATGTAATACAAACAATTAATAACATATAATTAAATAAATTACGTATGTATTATAAATTGTATATTAATTTGTATAAAATATTTTTACCTGTATCCACAGTTTATACACTTATATGTAAATTTCGTTTTAATTTTATAATCATGACACCTGCGTATTGGTGGTAATTCAGGATATGTTTTCATAGCTTTATTAGCCCTAAAATCAAAATAACAAATCAAAATAATTTTTGATAAATATAAAAATAACAAATAATTATTGTAATATACCATCCTGTCCAAAATGGACCATGTCCATCAGAGACCCCATTTATTAACCATGCAGCTGCATGACACATTTCATGAATTAAAGTATCCCTAAGTCTGTTTGGTGTATCTAAAACCTACGTATACAAGTTTATTTTATTTATATTCCAGAAACTGTTTTTAAATACTACACAAACGCACCTTTGTTGCTAAAACTATTCGCGACGACCTTACAATACCACCAAGAGTTTTCACTGATTTCTTATTATAACAAAAACCTGCAGTTCCTCTCATACGAACATTCCACTCTATTGTCATATCTTTTGGTAATTCATTATCAAATACATTTTCATTATATAATTTATACAAATAATTACATAAAGTTTCTTTAGTATTTTTATAATCTAATCTATACTTCTTAGCATCTGGGTGTGCTTTAGCAAGAGGAATATCTTCATTCAAGGATACTAAGAAGTTATTATTATATTTTTCGTATCTTGGATTATCAACAGGTATTTTACTTCGGGTGTTTAGTTTAGATATTTGTCGTGCAGTTTTAGTGGAATCTATAAAAATATTTTTTTTCTGTTTAACATGTTATGTAATTAATATGAATATACACGTTACCCTTTTTAGTTGTAGGTTTTGGTGGTATTTCATCACCAGGATCAAATTCACTAGTACTTGAATCTTCACTTTCATCAGTATTGAATGACAGCTTTCTTGATCTTATGTTACATATTTCATTATTGTTACCTGTATCATTTTCACTTTCACTATGCTCATCACATATTGTCATGAGTCTAAAAAACAAAATGCCACAATATAACGAAATTTCTTCTAATTGTAAACATTGTAAACATATATTTATTACCGTTTTATTATCGGTGGAGCTGCTGGTTTTGATTCTGTACTATTTTTCGATAATCTTGGATTTGTTAATGCGGTGTAGTATGTACTTTCACAACCACTTTCTGATGATGTTTGATCGTTAATAAAGCTATCTCTTTGTTTCGTATTTTTACGAACACTTCTTTTTGTTGTTACATTTTGTGATTTCAATTCTTTTAAGGCTAAATATCATTTAAAATAATTAAAATTGTCTTTTTAAAATAAACGTGAAATGTAGCGCAATAACAGTTTGGACCATAATAACTTACATGTGTTAAAGTCATCATCTGACTTTGATGCATCCAACCTTCCTTTGCTTATCATTTTTCTGTAATAGTAGATTTATTAATTTTAATTATTAGATCATTATTAATATAATTATAATATAACAATTATAAATTACCTTTCAGTCTGAACAGCTCTACTTTTTATTCTAATCTTTTGTTTACGTACTTCAGATTTTGGAAATAATACATCAGCCCTATCACGCCAAGATTTTCCATACAATTTATCTAATATATCTGCACAATCTGAAATAACTACATTTTGTGGCATGTTTCTTGTGGGGTTTGTTAGAGTTGGAAACATATTATTATCGGTAGGATTCTTTTTCAATTTATGCAATTCAGAAGCATTATTATTTTTCTTTTGGATATATTCATTCATTGTAGTTTGATGTGATACTATAGAGAGTGGTTTATTATAGCAATTAGGTTCTTTAACTTTTATTTGACATGTATATGGACTTTCACTCACAGGTTCATGATGTATTCTTCCCCTATTATTTGGAGTTTCATAAACCATTTCTAATCTTTCTAGACTGCTATTTCCTGAACTTATGTCATCTTTATTAGTACAAGTTACAATACCACTTGAATCATCGCTTTGGGAATCAAATACATTTGCCATAAGCCATTGTGCAATTTGTTTCTTTTTTCTTTCAGATAGTTCAGTACATGTTCTTGGACCTTTTTCCACATTTTCCATATCCAAAAACTTACTAACACGAGTTTTATAAGGGTTTGTTAGATCCACTTGAGAATTTTGAATAATATCATTTTCAGAATCCACTGGAGTTTCATCAATAACTACATTATTTGGTTCTAAATTGTTTTGGGGTGAAATGGCAGGATGTATCATATTATAATCTACCTCTTTATTGGGCAATATAGCATTTATTTTGGAAATTTTTGGTGATTCGTATATTATTTTTGTAGATTGTATATTTTTAATAATATTTTTAGCATCTTCACGTGATAACATTTTGTTAAAACCACTTTTAGATGGTTGAACATTACTACTTGAACTTTTGGAAGTATCAATACTACTGTTAGTAGTACAATTTGATAACAATTTGTTTCGATGTGCAATATCACTATGAAATTGGATATTTGTTTCTGATGTACCTTTAATACTTTTTCCAGTTGTAGAATTGATGCAATCACTACTACTAGTTTTATTAGAAGTTATGTAGTCTTTAATATATTCAATACTATCAGATGAAGATTCATCGGATGTGTATAATATCTTATTTCTTTTTGCAATATCCTGCCTTTCTTGATGTTTAGTTAAAAAATAAGATTTCTTATTTGCCTTCCATGTTTGAAAATACTTTTCATCTTCAATACATATAGAATCAGAATCTGAAGAATCATGAATAACATTTATATTCTTGATACGTGAAACATTATTCTTTGTTGCAAGATGTTTCTTTGATATTAATTCTAATTTAGTAACATTTTTATTTATAGAACAAGTTGAGTTAGAGCTAGAATCACTTATTTCTATTACATCTACATCGTCGCTATTTAAATTTTGAGTATCAGATATAATGGATTCTTGTGATACTTTTAAATAAAAATTCTGTGAACCATAAAGAGATTCTCCCATTTTTTTATCACATTGCATCTTTCTATTATCATGTTTTGTATATTTTTCATCTTGTTCTTTATATTTTACTTTATCAATTAATTCATTCCCTGTCAAAACATAAAATAATGAGAAATATCATATTACACATATTTTAAATATATATTACAAAACGTATATACTCACTGCAATTAAACATTCTTTGTCAATAAGCAATCTTATTATCTCCAGTAGTTATTTTATTATATTTTTACGCTTTGTTTAAAATACACTCATATATAATTAAAGGGCACATGGGTAAACAAAAATGAGTAGTCGGTTAAAACAGATAACATAAAAATGTGCATTACAATTATTATATATATATATAATGAAAATAAAAATATAATATACCGAAATACTTATTTTAAAACTTTTAACAAATCACGTTGCATTTTTGCATAAATTATTGTATAATAACTTTGAAATTAAGAGTTACGCAGTCACTACAATTCGAATGAGACCGTTGAAGTTTTAAATCAGTATAGCCAGCTTCTGATGTTAAAAAAAACTAGGGTATTATTTGCATCGGTTGATAACTTTAAAATGTCGATAAGTTATCATATAACTTAATTCTTACAACTTTTCATATTGTTTATATTTTGATTTTTAATTATTTATTTATTTAGACAGTAAAAATATATTTTATTTCAATACACTTATCTTTTTGTGTAAGTAGAGTATTTAAAAAAATGTATCGAACACTTATAATGAACAACTCCTAAGTAATTACAAAATTACATTTCTTTTATCCATTTATCTTAATCATTAACAACCCAAGGTTTCCTTAGAAAGTTTAGCTGCGTAATAATTGATTTTCAATTAAAGCATGACGTTCTTCGACACAAAATAATTATTATTTTCTAATTATTTAACGAGTTACTATTACTAGTTATTATTATTTATTATTGTCGTCAGACTGATAATTCTTGTGATGTCAATGCAAAGGTTTGTCGGCCCTAACCATCCTGGATACTTAAGCGTAAACAATTGGAGTATGGACCCCAGTATGGACGCACATAATGTGTCTATCGTCAAAGCCCTTTAGATGGTTCTCGGATGTTCTTACCCCATGAGATAGGGATACAGTGTGTACCGATACTATACTTCGTTCAATGAGAATTAACTGGAAGTATAAACAACTACACACGAAGAATGTATAATCAGAACAGGACTGAAGTACGTTTTTTTATTTTCTAATTACGCCGAGAGGACGATAAATGTAAAATAATAATGGAATATTATCATCGACGTGATACAGCAACCAAAAATTGAAACTGTTTTGAAAAGATCTTTTAAGCATATAACAGTTATTAATAGTTCCTTCTAGAATCGTTTTCAATTTTTCTTCGGTGACAGTGTTTGAAATAAATCCATTTAATGGAACTAGTTCCGTAAGTAAATTACCAGATGTCGTCGTATTTCTAATAGGAATGAAATTAGCCAAGAAGCACCACTTCTTCGTTCAAAAGAGATTTGGCAGTAGCCCAGATGTTAACCCTCGGATGTTTCAAGGAGATGGTTTAATGGTCCAAAGTCGCGCTACTAATGGTATACTTGTTACGATTAAAAGCACGACCAACTACGATAGAAATCTCGATGAAAGTGGAACGATTTCTAGTGATCGTTATTTATCACTGTCATTTGTACCTTTGACTGAAGACAATTTAATGCCGTTGCGTTGAATATTTCTCATTTCGACGCCTTATATTCTAAAATATTATTAGACAACAGATAATGCTCGTCTACAGTAACAAACTTTCTAATCAGAGTTGGAAAGTATCACTACTAACCTTTACGAATAGACATCGCAAATTTCATTACAAGTTTCAACTTTCAATAATTCCGAGAGAGATCAAGCTTCCTTCGGTATCGAGAAAAATTCGTTGAAAGAGAAAGCCTCGATACTTTTAATAAGTATCAATAAGTTCTAAGGAAAGTTCGATAAACCGACTTTCATTAAAATGTAATAATGTAGTTGCGTTAATGAAAGGTTCAGCAAAGGCTTTATCGTTTTCCAATGAGCGAACAAGGAACTGAGAATTATCAAGAAGTAAACGTTTCGTATTTCGGAGTAAATTTATTTCTTCATTTTCAATATTCGATGACAGAAAATTTCAACGCTGTGTATGTAGATAGATTGTCAGGTATTTAGCGAAGATTTTCATCAAGATAAAACTTAGTATAGTACAGTACGGCTCTCTCTGATCGTGAAAAACGTTAATAACAAAGTTGCGAAACTCGAAACTGCATACTTTCCATCGAAGCTCGGGACGAGGGAATGCCGACTTTTTTCGTTAGTTCGTTGGAAAAGTCTTTCCATGTTTTGCACGTTTAAAAAGCTCTAGGGATTTCCGAAGTGAGGATGAATGCGACGATCCATTTCAGCCGATAGATAAACAAATGCAGTCCTTTTTCATTTCGTATCTTAAAACTGTCAGACCTTTTCCGTAAACGTGTAACGCATTTCACGCAGAAAAGTCCGTATTATAGAAAAAGAAAAGAAAAATAATCCACATTCGATATATCCGAATAGAGGTGAAATTTGAATCAAAATGGTACTGAAATTACTAACCCGTGATACAAAGCGACATTTAATGTGATAATACGTATCGGTTACAATCTAATAGGATGTGTTTACATGCTTGTAAATTTACAGACCATGCATCGATAGCGTCCCGTTTCAAGGTTCGGAAAGGAGCTGCTATTGACCCCGTATATTTGTCTGTACGTGATAGCGCAAAAGTCCAACAAAATATCGAAGGTCAACAAAACCATATCGATACCGTGTTAGAAACGGAATACAATTGTGTTCTACACATGTACGATAAATAACTTGCCCGTATCTTTCTTCCTTTGAGGTTCTCCTATTTCGAAAATTTCTTCCTATCTAGAAATATCAGTTAGAACTCGTAGCTACTATCAATCGATTCTTCTTTAAGCTGGAATACCAATTTTCATAACTTTCATAACTTTCTGTTATCCTAAATATATTACATGACACGTACCTTACATTCGACCATGATCCGAGTATTAAAATTCCCTTGTATCGATTTTAAGGAACACGTGAAATCCAGTTGTTCGTTGACACTCGAGCGGTACAGGGACGCCGAAACATGTGAGCCATTTTCCTTGACAAGATAAGCCTAGGATTAGTGGGACGAAAAGGTAGCCGATATCACGAGGATTACGGTGAGTGAACACTTCCACGGTAATACAGCGACATTAATCTTTACACTTTCGTTCCTCCACGCTATCAAAAGATTCTTTTACTCGATTACTCTCTGTTACACGGTACACACGGATTATCCCTTGGCATACCTAAATGAGTCGTGAGGTCAGCATTTGGAAGATTTACAACACGATGGTAAAGAAAGGCTATTTTCGAGTTGGAATCTTGAAATATTGCGAAGCAGTGAACGAGATGTTCTTCCGAATTTTAATTTCCTCCACGTTCGGTAACCAAAGACGCGTTATAAATCTCGGTAATTCTGAAGGGTCATTCCGGAGCTTCTCTAACCAGCTGCCTACGCTTCGAAACTGGAGGAATGCC